TTTTCGGGAGTACAATGCATACAATTTAACCAAGAGAGTGAGGGGTGGGAGAATAGAAGAGTGTTGAGTGTGTTCCTACAAAGTATCAAGCGCCATGTTAATTGGTTATGTACTCAAAAACAGGAGGCTTTAGCTACAGGCTCACCAGTGTTAACCCGCGATTACCGTCCCACTCCTCCCCCCCCCCCCCACCCCCCCACCTCTTTTGAACCTTTACCCTTCCATTAATTCCATCCACAAGTACTAATGACACCATGTGTAAATCTAGCTCGATGTGGTTTGACGTTTCTCTCCATCCAGGACCCGTCGATTTCCAAGCGTTGCTCAGTTTGTGGTAGCGAGGTCTTGGATGCGGAGCTCGTCGATTTTCCCAGTGTGATTGGGCCAGGGATGGGCGCGGCGGGTGGGTCCCAGCCTCAGCGGCCGCATGATCGATTGATTGATATCCTCTGTGACGCTTTTGATACATGTATTTACTGTGGTGGGAGGTTTAGGGATTAAGTTGTGTGGTAGGCTGGGTTGTGCATCTGAAAAGGAAACATGGATGTATGAAAGGTGATGGTATGGCCTCAGCGATGGCAGCCTAAGTAACGCTACTTACGCTGTGGCCCCCCTGTATAGATAGTACATAAGCAAACCGAGAGAAAACGTCTATTCTTGTGGGTAATGGCCATAAAACTTCCCCGAGCACTGGTATTTACCAAAAAACAACCGAAAAAACAAAGGAAGGAAAAGAAAGAAAAGGCATTATGCACGAATGCTTAACCGATGACAAAACCAGAGATGACCGACTCCATATATATACGTATTCTTAGATCGAATAGTACCATGACAACCCTATATGGGAAACCAAAGCTAACGGGACACATCAGGGAATAGAACGCAATGGGCGTCGAAATTATACATGTACAAAGTTGGAGAAAAGGGGAATAACATGTAGAGGAGAACGTCTAGGAAAAAATTATGTTATCAACTGGCGGGGGAGGAGGGCGACAACGAGCCCTAAGGCACGGATGCGAGACTACCCGTTCGCCAGGTAAATGGTGTCAACGGATATATGGGTAATAAATATATATTTATCAGTTTAATGTGTACGGGTATCATAGTTCCACTGTGAAGAACAGCTGTGAAAAATCTTTAAAGTGTTAATATGGCAAAGGGGTTTTTATCCATCTGTCGAAATGATTAAAAGAATTTGTCCATAGCTTTGTGAGCCAATTCGACCCCGAGGCTGTATGAATGAGTGAATTGTCAGAACCGGAACATGGATACACATTTTGGGAAGTGAGACGTGACGAGAATCGGGGACTTACAAAGTAGCGGCGTTGGCAGGTACCGCTCTGGCCAAGGCGGGACCGAATCCTGGGAAGAAGGCTTTGAAGCCGCCGTTAGCATATACACCGCGGATGGTGCCTCCGATAGTGGGTCGTCCTTCCGCACTCTGCAAACGGGACTTGACGGTGTCGATGGGAAAGACTGGGATCCACATCGCTATGCCAGCTGCACCGCCTGCAGCTACGACTGCGGGCAAAGACAATTCACCAGTGACATTTCCGTCCGCATCTTTCGGTGTGAGGCTGCGCTTTATGTATTCATACGCGGCAAAATAGGCTGCCGAACCAGGTCCATCACGGGCCAATGTCATTGCACTTCCGCGGAACACGCTACGGATACCTCCCTCCTTATAGAGCTGGCGGACAACGTCTACTCCGCCGGAATACTTGGGCTTTTGGCCGGGAGGAGGAGGGTTTTGACCTTGAATCTGCAGAAGAACCTTAACACGCTCGAAAGGGGCTGTGATCAGGGTCATGGGGACCGCGGAGAAGAAGCCAGCAGCAGATATCTGGCCGATCGTGTATTGGGGAGTTCCGTTATGTACCGGAACGGAGGAGAAGTTGCGGACGAGTGTTTTCCCAAGATCATAGCCCTTTATAGATATGACAGAGTGAATTAGAGCGCGGGCAAGCAAATTTTATGGATTAACGAATGCGAACGTACCCAGAAGCTGACAGCGACTGATAAAAGAGCAAACAGTTAGCCAGCTGAAAGACAATTCTTCTAAGAATAGAAACGGAAAAAAGAAGGACGTACACATAGGAGTTACTCCAACCAATGGGGCTGAAACGCCCGCATATAAGCCCTGACGGCAGTCGTTAGCAACTGTATTTCTGAGGTCAAATTCCTAGGTTCATTGGTAGAGAGTGACTTGTCCAGCGACATACCCTGGCAAGTCCTTCGCGCGCAATAGTTCTCTTCACGACATGGATTGCACCCGAGTAAACGCCCTTTTCGGCGGTTTGTAGGCGGACTTTGACCAGGTCAAAGGGATGGCCGACAATGACAGCGCAGATTCCGCCTGCACCACCAGCGACAAAGGATTTGATCTGCGCAACGCTAGCGTTCGAGGCAGCCGGGGATTGTTTCTGAGGTTCCGATTCCATTGGTAATGAGGGAGAGATAGCAGTCGTAGTGGATGGCATATCGTGTGTATTGGAGGGGGGGTGGTTGATCAACGATGGGAAAGCTATTACACCGAAGCGCAAGTCGCACAAAAGCACAAGAGAGTGTATTAACCAAGAGGAACTAACTACTGAGGTAGCGACAAGGCACGAAAAGGGAAGAGGGGAAAGAAGGAAGAACAGAAGAAAAGAAGGGAGAGAAAAAAAAAAAAAAAAAAAAAAAGAAGTCCCAGCGGGAGAATGAAGAGAGTTTTACAACAGTTCGCTGGTGACTTTTGGGGCGGCGGGGAGATTATGTAAGTCGAGAAGGATGGGCCTCGGTTCGGAAAGCGGAAGAACAGAAAAGCCGTACAGAAAGGGTATTATCGAGAGGGGCAAACAAGCCAAAAGAGAAAGGGAAGCAGAAAAGGGGGATAAATGCCAGATGAAACAGGGTGACAGACATGTGGTCTTCTTAAATTGCAATTCAGATGCCATTCATACAGTATTTGTGAGACCCCTGACACTTCGGGCGAAGGGAGGATGCGCCATCACAAATATCAACCCACTGTCCTAGCAGCGATACTATCGAATGCGAATGAGAGTACTAGCGGCATGGAAGGAGGGGGCTTGTTCTTTGTCTGTGCTATTCATGTGGATAATCCCGATGTAATAGCGAAGTTGCTTCGTATGGCGATCTTCTGCTGCGTTTAGTGTGAATTGATCGTAGATTGGAAGATACAAACCAGGGAGAACATTTGCGGATTATTAGGAGAATTGCAGCAGGGTTGTGTGCGAGTAATTCCCAATAATCACCTGATCCGAATCATCAGGAAAACTCATAGGAAAAAACTGACTCTCGTCTCATGGTGTCCTGCATCGCCAGTCTGCTCTGTGGTCGGGACGAAAATGGTATTGGTCAGTGTTGACCAGTAGAGGTCAGCAGCTGACTAAACGCCGAAGGCAACCAGCTGGAGGCCTCCTGATGAAATCAACTTCATTCATCCGTCCTCTCTCTGCTTCCCATCCTTGCCTTCGATTTTGCAATAAATTCCTTTATATCTTACTTGTGCCTCTCTTTCCTGCTGTTTCATTTGTTTCTATTCCACCGGTTTGCCATGTCCGCTACCACCTATCATGTGGTTCGTAGAGGACTAGAGGTAACGACCAATTACCTATCCCCAACGTCAAGCAACAATGAAGACCATCGCCAACTGTCCGTCTGGGCGGTACTGGTGTTTGGTGTGACTGCTCTAGTCTTTAGCCTTGTTGCTTTCGCCGTATGTGGTTCCCTACACCTTGTCATAGGGTTTGATTCGCCCACCGCTGGATATTATATACTAATTATTGGTGCGATTGCAGATTCAATATACATATGGCACTGTTGTTGCAGTACTGGCTGCGGTAGAAGATCCTCATCCAGCTGTCTATGAGCCCATTAAGAGCACCGACGACTCCAGTAAAACGACCAACCTGGTTGATTCTGGCCTCGATTTCTCCCACAAACGGCCTGCCCCAGTCACACGTAGCCTACGCACCGCCATCCACCATCTTCGCACTCGTGCTGGTCCTTGGTCTCGCTTCCGTGGCTTGGGAATGTACTTGTGCTTGGGTATCTGCCGCTCAGCTCTCGCCCAACTCATCATCTTTGGTCATGGCAGCGCAGTCAACCATTTTGCCCACGCTGTTGCTCAGGTTGCTACTGATGTAGTTTCGGCGAATCTCGAGCTTACCTGGGTCCATATAGTAATTTCACAACCTTCTGCCAAATCATTTTGGAGACGGGTTCCCGGATACAGCAGCTGGGTTAAGATTGCTCCCGCTGTTGCCCTCCGGTCCGTAGCAGCGCAGCTCACCTTCTTGCTGCCTGCCCACTTGGGATGGAGAACCCATGTATGGCATATGGGGAAAGGCAGTCCATTCTCTGAACCAGAATATGACCCTCACTCTGAAATCGCTATAGCAGTCGGCGCTTGCCTCCTCGCCATGTGCCTGACAGTCTTGATAGAGCTTCCAGCCACAGTGACCATGATCCGTGTGGCCGCGTCCATCCTTCCCGAGGAAGAAGAGACTATTGTGCCTTTCGATCGCACTTTTGGTGGTAATGTCCAACCGGCCATCCTGGGAGGTAGCGGTAAGGTTGGTTTGTTGGATGCATGGAAGACCTTCACTTGGGCGTCGCGCGTCCGTCTCCTCAAAGTGTTGGTTAAAACCGTCGGCATGATAATCGCAGTTACTACGACCTGCGCTATCTGTCTTTCCGGCGAAGCTCTTCTTCTAGGTGAGAAGATATTCGTTCAAGCATAGGTTCCTCTGTTTATCATCAGACAGATATACAGCAATTGTCAGCGGCTGGCCGTTTGTGACTATAGCTCATAAGATCAGCACTACCTTTCTGATACTCTGCGCCCTCCTGCCCAAATCAAGGGAACATCATGTTGATTTAACGCATGTAACTTCCAAAACCCGATATCTTGATTGCTCCCACGCTCTTTGTGATTCATTGATATGTATTTATCCCACCCTTCCTCACCGTTATTGATATGGTTGCGAGATGATCTTTTATTGCATGTTGCGAAATAAATTTATTACCTGGCTGGATCTCATAAGACATTCTGTAAACCTTTGGCAAATTCCGTACAAATGAATGTATCTTTTGCACATAACTAAGTGGAATCGCCGATTAAGTAATGCTAGCTTCACGTAGGGCATGTGACCAATATGGACCCCAACCTGGGCACAGCTGAAATAAACCGCAGCTATCTGAGCATATCACCGCTACTTTGCATAATACTTAGGCTTTCTCCAGCCCCCGCTGCGTGGTGTGGTGGACAAAGCGGATAATTCAAAACCAAACCCCGCTTCAGATTTCTTCAGGCCGCACCTTGGCTATTACCACTGTACTGTGACTATTACATCATGGCCACTTCCGCCGCAGCAGGGTTGCTCAGCCGCCAATTGAAGCAGATGCAAACGGATAAGGATATCCCGGGGATTAGTTGTGGTTTGGCAAACGATAACATATTTGAATGGGAGGTTATGCTCATGATCTCAGATGAGTGTAAATTTTATGGTGGTACGTGAAGCATTTGCCCGGTGGGCTACACTGTACCTGAAAGTGGAATTCGTTTCAAACTCGCTCATTAACAGGACATATCAAATCTATTTACTTTAGGTGGCTTTTTCTGCGCTCGACTATCTTTTCCCCCCGAGTATCCCCATATGCCGCCCACGATGAAATTTGAAACACCAATATTTCACCCCAATAGTACGTACCTGCACTGCATATTTAGATCGGCTCCATCCTCTATCTGACAACAAACCCCTCTAGTCTATGCCACCGGTGAAGTCTGTATATCTATTCTTCACCCTCCAGAAGACGACAGATACGGTTACGAGTCTGCTGCCGAGCGCTGGTCGCCAGTACAGACACCTGAGACTATCCTCCTAAGCGTAATCAGCATGCTCTCCAGTCCCAACGATGAGAGTCCGGCAAATGTAGAAGCTGCAAGGCTTTGGCGTGAGGATCCGAAAGAATTCAAGAAGAGGGTAAGGCAATGCGTGAGACAGAGCCTGGGGGAGGACTGATGTGCTCGATTTCCTAACTATTTTACGGCTCTCCTTTTCTTTCTCCTTATTTCCGTATGGAGTTTTCCTTTTCTCTCGTTAATGGCAGCTCAGTGAGGTATTTAAATCAACTCAGGCATGCCCTTCTATAAGAGCATTGTTTCCTTGTCCTTTCCTTTCTTTTATTCTAACCATCTTGACGAAGTACATGTCCCATCTATTTTTTCATCAGTTCCGTGAACAGCGTCTCGCAGCGGAGACACACCATATCCATAGTATTAGTTGATTTTCTCTTCGATAACAGCTAGACATGCTTGCCAATCCTATTTCCGTTCTTCATACATGAGGTGTTCGATTTATCGATTTCTTCCACATTTTCCCACATGAGTATTTTTGATGGCGACAGGTTTACTGCCATCAAGTCTCTCAGCTCGTGGGCCGATTCAATGGTGGAAATTGTTGGCTAGATATTTTCAGCATCGTGAGCCAGTCGGCTGTTGCACATGTCCGGTTGATTCACATTCGATCTGAGCTGGATTCACCAGCGCACGGATACGACCACGGGCCGCTGGGATGAGATAGTTACAATCAAAAACGCTTCCACCTCCATCAAGAGCTAAATATCTCCACCCTTATAATAGTAACTGGTCTTTCGTAGGATGTGACCTGCTAGGCCTTTTATGGCCAGGATTATTATTGTTCCATTCCATACAGGTTCCTAGTTACAGAGTACATTAATTTGTAACAGGGTGCCTTGTAAGCTCTGATCACATTTTCATCGCATAGATTGATAGATACTCTATTATATGTAACTGATACCTGATGGTGAATATACAACTTTGATGAATCCTATACATTCAAGTTCTTATCTTCATGAAATGTATTATGTTGTGACCAAAGTTTGCTTGTATCTATACTCCAGTATTATAATACCAGTGTATATCAACCGATTCCATACTTTTTTAACAGTTACGTGTAATTAGAAATTAATTGTGAATTCAAATCATCAATTGCTGCTTGTATATTGCTTTGTGGTGCATGTTAATTGAATATTGAAGGTGGATGAACAAAGCGTTGGTTGGTGGTGGATTGAATATTTAGCTTATTAATATCGCCTTCTTCAAACTCTCCTCCAGCAGGCAAGTTATCGATATGCCAACATAAGCCATGCCACAAACCATTGGAATTAATAATCCTTGGCTTAACACGATAAAGGGACCAGGCTGCTATGCGTGCTGCCTTCATATCCTCTGACATTATTCGACCACATCCATCGATGGATTGAAGAGATCACAAAGCGTTTCAACCTCTCCGTGCTACCCCATCGCACTTCGCGCTTCACTCCAAACCACACTTTTCGCCTTTACGAGTGTGTTGCTTGTCTTTTCAAGATGTGGGGCGCATCTTCTGGAGGGACTCCAGTTGTGGACAGCTTCATCGCAAACATTATGGAGCTCATACGGGATCGCAATGGAGCTAAGCTACAGGATTATCTCCAGATTGAACCTCCATTGCCACCCGTATACCAAGATATGGTTACGGAGCTGAAGAGTCAATATCCACAAAGCGCAAATACCGATGACCAACTTCTAGGAAAATGCGAGTCCGCGGTTCCACCGGGCAGTTCCTGGTCCTCATTTCCTTTATTTTTGCGACAGTACTTTATATTCGTAAGGGACGTCAATGTCGACAACCTTTTGGATACTTACGATTTACTAAAAGCTCTCTTAAAGTATGTCGCAATGCGATCTCTTCTAAAATTTGAATCTGTTTCTAACTAATCATTTATTTCTGGATCCCTTTGCTGTATAGTCAATGCGTTATAGCCCTGAGCGATAGTCAAATGGGAGTCGTCGTCCTGCCTACGGTCCTTTATCTCTCAAAAGTGCTCGCGAAGCTAGCGATTGGCTTAGACCATCGGCCGGAATTGGTCTCACATCTCCTAAAGGAGTCAACTGGAACGGACGAAGCAACGGAGAAGGTGACCCTCGTTGAGAAATCCGCGAACGTCGTCCGTGAAGCTTTTATCAAATGCCTTACTGATAGGAGCGGGGCAGTTGGCGCACAAGGGAAGCCAGAAGGGAAACGCGTTGGAATCTACTTGATGGCAAATTTGTGTTTGAAGCTTTTATTCAAGGTGATTTCCCCTGCGCTATTTTATTTGCTTACCCGCCATGTTCCTAACTTGTCTCGAACAGTGTGGCAAACTTCGGAATGCTGAACAGATGTTTGCGAGTATCAATGCCCAATCTCCCCCTCTTTCTCATTTCCCTGCCTCGCAAAGGGTCACCTACCTTTACTACTTGGGCCGATACCTTTTTTCGAATAACCTTTTCTTCCCGGCTCAAACCGCATTGCAGGCAGCATATAACCAATGCCACAGGCAAGCACTGCAACAACGACGCCTCATCTTAACCTATTTGATACCATGTAACATTATCCTGGGGCGCTTCCCCTCCCGAACTCTACTCGAACGACCAGAATCCAAGGGCTTTGACGATGTATTTTTACCTATTTGTCAGATCATTGCAAGCGGCGACCTGGGTGCTTTTCGATCTTATCTGGATGTTGACTCTCCCCATGCAGATTTTTTTGCTCGCAAAGGGATTTTGCTCCAGTTACGAAATAGATGTGAGATTCTTGTTTGGCGCTCCCTCGCTAGGAAGGTATTCATCTTCTCTGGGTTTCACGGAGATCAGAAAGCCCAGGCCCAAAGGGGACCTCCGCCATTCCTCTATCTTAGCAAACTGGAAGGAGCAATTATGTGGATAGAATCACGCTGGTCCAAGCAAGCAACGCAATCGCCTTCCGCTATGAGGCAACCTGGACAAATTCCGCAAACATCGCCCCCAGCTCAAGCGAGGCGGCTCTTCTCTTTCGCAGCAGATCGCGATTTCGCTAAGCCAGACATGATCGTTAATGATGCTACAGCCAATTCCTCTTCCGATTACGACGATTATTTTCAACCTGACGGATATTTCGACCGCGATGGGGAATGGGTGCTTGTGACTGGCGAAAATGATTTGCCTGGTGATGTAGCTCCTGAAGGCCAAGATTTGGACAATCTTGCCTCCGATGCTCTGTCCTATATAACAAATGAAGGAAAGGTGTCAGACGGTGAAAAGGGCCCAGAGTCCCCTTCACCACTGATGCGCGATCTCGAATCAGTCCTTGCCTCGCTTCTTGTACAAGATCTGATGCGTGGCTACTTGACTCATAAGAACCCGCGCTTCGCTATCCCAGGAGCGCGCGTTAAGGGATCCCTTCCGACGGGGTTCCCTAATGTATGGAGAACTATTTATGCTAGAGAAAGCGAAGATGACCAAGTTCCCGGCTGGGTGAAACCAGCATCGAACCCAGGATTCGGCAATAACACGGGAGGGTCGTTGGCCAGTCCCGCAGGAGGGATGGGCGGACGTGTAGTCAACCTAAGTGGAGCAAGAGCCGTAGGCGCTCTGGGAAGTTAGATGTCATCTCTTAATATTTCCATTTTTATTCATGACTGGGCTTTTCTCCCTGTTGTGGGCCGTTCCGTCATTCAAGCTAGCAAGGTGCAACGACGGTGTGTCATGATATAGTATATTTTCTCCAAGGAGATACTGCGCATACTTTTTCTTTTTAAGTTTGTAGGATTTTCCGCCGATGTGATACCCATTTGAGCGGCGGTGTGATTCACCTATGCCCTTTGTTATATTTCCGTTAAACTATCAGTTGTTGATCTAACCGCGGTGAGCTGCACCAAACCATGTGTGTCACTTTTTTAATGAATACTCAGACTACCCTAACCTCCTGTCCATTTGCATTGTGTCTTTCGCAAGGGTTCACTTCTGATGGATTCGCTTTCCTCAAAGCTGCTAGCAGCATATGGGACTCTGATAAGGCGGTCTATTCGCTTAAATTACAACTCTTTTGTGGGGGGCTGTCTCCCTCAAGGGTGCTTACCTCTGTATTCAGTTTTCCAAAAGCGATTCTGATCTCCCATTTTGATATCTCTCAGAGTATATGATAAATCCTAGTGGTGGAATATGATATCGAGTTTCTCCCAACCCTCAAAAATCCAAGCATTTCCTAAAGCTTATTAATTCTCTGATAAATGGTCTCAACATATTGCCCGAAAAAGTATCAATCTCAAGGGCCAGCGGTAAGTGTGGTAATCTATCCCTCAGGTTGAAGGTCAAGAGTGATGCGCGGTTCAGAAAGATGGAATGGATAGAGAAATCGACTAGTACTTTCAGGGTGATCCCCTGGATCACGTGTTTTTAATGCAAACAGGCCCTGTGCAAATCTTCAAGAAACCGACAACAAACATCCAACTGGAACCATTCATACTACTCTGATCAAGTCCCATACTCAGGGCGCCCTGTTTCAGTTTATATCCTCTTTATTATTGACCCTTTCCCAAAAATCTTAGTGTTGTAAATATATTGGCCCCCCGCCCCCTTTAAATAGCACACATGGTGGTGTCCTAAACGGCTCCGAGTTTCCTAGTATGTATCATCATCAATCCCGGGAGATTTGCCTTGATCAATGCTGAAGTTGACTTTGCATCTACTAGATAACCGTCTGAAAATGCTGTGTCCTAAGAAGCTGCAGCTTCTCTCTTTCGCCCTCCTTTCTCCACACCTGTCCTCCGCCTTCTATCTTCCCGGTGTCGCGCCAACATCATATGATCAAGGACAATCGGTCCCACTCCAGGTTAACCGCCTAACCCCAGCGATATCTGAACTTGATGAGCAGCTTCATTCTGTTATCCCCTACGACTATTACCATCCGGCTTTCCACTTTTGCCAACCAAAAGATGGCCCAAAAGACGTTCGGGAGTCGCTAGGCAGCATAATATTTGGAGATCGCATCCGCACCTCTCCTTTCGAACTACACATGGCGAAAAATGAAACTTGCAAGCCCTTGTGTTCCGAAGTGAAATTTGACATTAAGAGCAGCAAATTCGTTAACCGCCGGATATGGCAGCAGTATAATATTAACTGGTTGATCGACGGACTCCCGGCTGCCCAGATCAATATCGACGACCAAACAGAAACAGAATTCTATAGCCCTGGATTCGCCCTAGGCTCTGTGGACGATGATGGCCAGGCAATCCTTAACAACCACTATAATATTTTAATCGACTATCACACAGTTAGCGGCCTAGGGAAGGGAATTAAATACCGTGTTGTTGGTGTCCTGGTAGTCCCAGAATCGCGAAAGAACAACCAAATTGTTAATGGACAGGCGGAATGCAACCAGAATGGACCTCCAGTCGTTCTCAACGAAGATGGTGATACCACAGTTACATGGACATACGGTGTGTTCTGGAGAGAATCATCCACCGTGTGGGCAACTCGTTGGGACAAATATCTTCATGTCTTCGACCCAAATGTCCATTGGTACTCCCTCATCTACTCCGCTGTATTTGTCGTGTTGCTTGTCGCGTTAGTGAGCACGATCTTACTCCGCGCGTTGAAAAAGGACATTGCGAGATATAACAGGTTGGATATGATCACTTTGGACGACCTGAATGACACCTCCGCGGCTGTTGAGGATGGAATTCAAGAAGATTCTGGATGGAAGCTGGTCCATGGGGATGTTTTCCGCTGTCCAAGGCACCTCCTTCTACTTAGCGTATTCTTGGGCAATGGCGCACAACTGTTCGTGATGACTGGCATCACAGTCAGTAAGTGACTTTCGTATTTTCTAACTAGGTTTCTTGTGTCGAGCGTGACTAATCTGCTATTAGTTTTTGCGTTGTTCGGATTACTTTCCCCTGCAAATCGTGGGTTCTTAGGGACAGTGATATTGATCCTTTATACTTTCCTCGGGTTTGTCGGTGGTTACGTCGCTGCGAGGGCGTACAAGTCGTTCGGCGGCGAATCTTGGAAAAAACTCATAATTCTCACACCAGTTCTAACCCCTGGACTTGTCTTCTCAGTATTTTTCTTCTTAAACCTCTTCGTCTGGTTCAAGGGATCCAGCGGCGCTGTCCCGTTCACAACCATGCTCATCACCGTTCTGATATGGTTTGTTATCAGCGTGCCTCTTAGTGTCGCAGGCAGCTGGATCGGATTGAAGCAGCCGGTATGGCTACCTCACGTCGGGCCTTCTAAAGTATTTTCTCTTGCTGATTGTTTCCGCTGTAGGCTATCGAAGGCCCAACCAGAACCAACCAAATCCCTCGTCAAATCCCACCAGCGGTTGGCTCCCTCCGCCCCTTGCCGTCAACCCTCATTACAGGGCTCCTCCCATTCGCTGCTATATTCGTTGAGCTTTACTTCATCATGCATTCCCTTTGGACGAGTAAAATCTACTATATGTTTGGATTCCTCTTCCTCTGCTACGGTCTCATGATCATTACTTCAGCGGCAACTACAATTCTTCTCGTGTATTTCCTCTTATGCGCTGAGGATTACCGCTGGCACTGGCGGGCCTTCATGGGTGCGGGGATGACCGGCGGATACGTATTTTTGAACGCGCTTATCTTCTGGGCTACACGCGTGAGCTTTGGCGGGTTGACGGGTGCGGTGTTATATTTGGGATATTCTGCTCTTATAGCATTTTTGGTATTTATATTGACTGGTATGTCGATTTCCCCCCCCCCCCCTTTATTTGGTAACGACGGGTGTCAACTCTTTCACTTTTTTCTTTCCAAAATTCTCCCCTTTTACGACGAATACTAACTTCCTTTTCAAATTGCAGGCTCCATTGGTCTAATTGCGAGCTGGATATTTGTCCAGCGCATCTATCGGTCTATCAAGGTTGATTAAAATTGGACAACCTTTTCGACTTAACCCTGTACCTCATGGCAAATCGGTATTATCCATCTCCGACTCGCTCAATTTTACTCCTAACCATACCATTCATTTCTGTGGCTAAAGCGTAGTACTGAATTTTGGTCTATCGGCGCTATGTAATGCTAATGTAGGATATCTGGCGAATGCATCGTTCTCTAGGAAACTTCTTTCAGCAAGCGTTTACTCCTTCGGTTATAGACCACATTGCGATTCCTCACTCACTCCGTACTCATACTTATCCGTGTTAGCCAGAGGGAGCGCAGTCAGTAGTTCCTTTCATTTTCTCACATTTTAAAATAAAGAGAAACGGGTTTTGCTTTGCTATTCTAGCTTTCCCCCTGGCGTTCAACAATATTTGCTTTGGAAATTGCTTCGAGCTATTCTGTACATATTTACTCCTATTACTGTTGTGTTTACTTTATACTGTGGTTTCCGGAATTTTTCCCTTCTATTCTCTTATTCTCCAGGCACTTGCTTCACAACTCCATCATATTTGCCACATTCTTCGATACATTTTTGCAGAAAACAGCCAATTTTTCCTCTCCATCAATGTGTTGTACTATAACGCTCCAAGTGTGTTTTCCGCCTTTAGCGCTGCGTTTCCGTAGTTTACCTCATTTTGATTAGTTACTTCATGGAAACTCCACTTCACTCCGAAGAACGGCAGTGCATTAAATTAATGTATTGTCTAATTTCCCACAGCCATCTAGAACCCCACAGGATGGTAACGTCTGCCAACGCTCTTCGGGCGTCTCTGTCGTTGAAATCCACGCATCGATCGACCCGACGACGACGGCAGCCGACCCATCAGAACGGAGCAGAGAGTCCGGTTTACGTGAACTACATAAAACCAGACGTTGAGGCTTGTTTTTAAATACGTATTCTCTTGCTTTCTCTAATTTTGGTTATGGTAAATGGAGAAATTAATGTTAGCGCGTAGGTTTGGGGGGTTAAACACAGGATTTAACTGTCTGTCGGCTAGCTGTCCATAGTGCAGTGAGGTCAGGGGAAGTCAGTATCGTTGAATTGTAAAAGAACTGAAAGAGGAACTGTCAGCGCTCTAGGCCGTGGCAGAGAGAGGACAGGTTAATATCCGGATGGGCTAGCCAACAAACCGCATTGTTCCTGAGCCAGGGATATGGCATTTTTGATGAGGGAGACAAGAAGAAAAAAGCAGAATAGAGAGCCATATCGGGAAGAGTTCAGTCTTTTTTCTAGTCATATCCACCACAAAAATAAAAACCACCAAGATTACAGAGTTATAGAAATGATAAAAAGGGAAACTAATAGATGAGGCATAGAAACAAAAGCGAAGTGAATCATTCCCGGCTGAGACTGGGCCGACTAGTGATGTGACAAAAACAATATAAAAACATGTACGCAAGAGATAAACAAGAGATAAACAATAGGAAGCACGTAGATTGAAATCGTGGCGGAGCGGGTAAGTCTTTTGTCATGCAGCACATTGCAATGCTGAGAAAATGGTAAAAGAAGAACGAAGAAATGGACAGGAAATACACAATAGTTCAAACACTTCTTCATATCATAATAAGAACATTGACATCATGGCACATGTCACACCGGAAATAGTGATAAAGAAACCGCAATCCCCAAGTAATAGATGGGTGGAAAATGGCGGCTATGGTAGTGTGTGGAAGCGAGATTGAGGATAAGGGTAGGTAGTAGGTAGTAGATGTGTCCACTGGGGATTTGGAAATGTAAGCATCGAGGATGTGTGGAAAAGGGGCTCCGTACGGCATCGTACTGTATAAACCAGACAAACAACTAGCCAAAAGCGCCCTTTAAATAAAACCAAAAGCCATTTAAAGTGTAAGACAGAAAAAAAGAATCATTCAAAAAAACAAAACAAAAGTAGACCGAACATTCGGTCCTGACTGGACGCTAAATTGATAGCAGATCCACGCGTGTGCCAGCGGCAAGCGTCTGATTGAATCCCCTGCCAACGCCGCGTTTGTCATCACACTAGCCCGTCATACAGAGACAAAGCGCTGACGATGGTCTCATCTTTCTTGCTTCCCTCCTTGAATTCCGCGAGGTCTAAACTTCCATTCTCATCCTTATCCATCATACGGAAGATCTTCTTTACACGTTTCTCGGGAGTATCTTCGTCTTCAGGCAGTTTGACCATAGAACCGACCTAGGACACAGGGTTATTATATTGTGAAAAATGAAAGAAACTTGGGCTGATGGTTGTATAGAACAAGGATGATATACCATCTTATATATAGCCTCGACAATAGCCAGCATTTCGTCATAGGTTATTTTCCCATCACCATCAATATCGTATAACTGGAAAGCCCAGTCTAATTTATCTTCCATTCGTCCTCTTGAAGTGATGGACAATGCACAAATGAATTCTTTAAAATCGATCATGCCGCTTTCATCAGAATCGAAAACTCTAAAAACGTAATTCGCGAAGGAGGACGGGTCACCAAAGGGGAAGAATTGCCGGTAGATTTTTTGGAACTCCTCCTTCGTCAAGGTTCCAGAGGGGCAGTCCTTTAGAAAACCTGGATGATTTTAATAATGAATGTGAGCAAGAATAACACGAACGGAGCTCTTGATAACAGGTCGTTATTCCCCGGGAGTTCATTGACAAAAATGAATACCTTTGTACCATTGTTGTAGTTCCTTTCTGTCAAAGTGAGTTGACTTCTGCAGTTCGTCCAGTTGCGAAGGAGAAAGTTTTGATTGTCTTCATGAGAAAAGATCGAAATGGTTAGCACTTGCTATCAAGTCTATCATTTACAATGGTTGAAGCTTGTCGAGCTCGCTCCAACAGCACCATACAACCAACAGAGAGGTGCATTATGTGATTTCAAAAGGAACCGACAGGGAGAAAGCCTTCAGCCAATAGTGTATACCAGCCTATGAAGACATTGGGCCGAAGAGCCCTGCATGAGCCCGGTGAAAGGGTGGGTTTTTTTTTTTTTTTTTCTTTTTTTCTTTTTTTCTTTCTTCCTTCTGGGGGGGGGGGGGAGAAGATATGCATAGATAGGGGCAGGCACTGAGAAACATTCAGGGAGGATGGGGTTCTCACGATTTCCCCATGGATGCGAATGCTGAAATAAACGACGAATGAAATCAAGCTGTTCGCCTTCAGTATTAAATCTCTCGCATAGAAATGGTTGTTGTTGTTGAGCGGAGTGAATATCGTGATCGTGTTGGACAGTGGGCGCGGGGTAGTCGTGCGATGACGGGTCGCAACGGGAGAAGCTGGCGGGGTAATAGGGGGAGAACGCGGGCTGCAAATGGAGAGATGGTTGATTCCAACAGTGTTGGATGCTGACACGGGATCGTAGACGGCGAAAGAAGAGGAATCAAGAGCCAGGGCAATGCGAGGAATGTTGGAGACAACGGTGGACAATGTCGTTTGGTTGGACGCCGTTTGCTGCGATGCTGGGCCACACCGGAAGGGGATTAGCGCGTGATCAGCTGCTGACAAACCATGCGGCGGCTCAATTCAAGCCCACCAGGGAAGAAAGGCGACGATGCACTAGCCGTTTTGAGCCTAGGCTGAAACAGCCTCAACAGCCACAGCCGCAAGTCGCTTCTGGCTTCAGTCTGTTCGTCTCGCATTGCGTCTAGGGGATGGCTACTAGTATATTCAAGTTTTGACGAAAGGAACCAGTCCGTTGGGTCTCCTTAAATTTGCTTGAACAAGCCAATTGAAGCAGGGTTACCGCCTCCTATTTTGAATTATTTTGAATCACCTAAACAATACCTGGTGCTTTTTCTTGAAGAGCTCTCCGTTGGATCTGGATCGGCTATCTTGAAAGCGTTAATCCCATTCTGCTCCCGGGCGGCTTTCTTGGTCACAAAGGCTTGATACTTGATTGATAACCAAATTGACTTTAGTTGCCGGAAATGTTCGAAAATTATGAGGCCACTTGGACCACGCGGTGAACTTATATAACCTCCATCCCTTTCCCACTAGTTAATTAGAGGACTTGGACTTACACAGTTACATTTATTCTGTTGACTGGGTTGCTTGGGAGCTTTTGACTCGCATAAACGACGAGGGCTATCAAATAACACGAGTCTAGGATTTTCATAAATTGCATATCGAAAGTACTCCCGAAGCTATAAGGTCTGCGATCATGAGATCTCCGACGTTGAGATCGGAAAGGGCACCATTGAGACACGGCCATTAAGCTGGTGAAAAATGTGCTATTTATGCCAGATGGCGGGCAATAGCTGTGGGATAGAGCGGAGCGCAGATGGCATGACTGTTGTTAGGTGGGAATATATTTCCGGACGCCCTTTCTCCGGGACTTGACTGGACAAAACGCTTGAGGATGAAGAATTTAACGGCCTGGGAGAGTACGAAGGGGAAGAAGGGAGTGGAACAGATGCTGAATAGGAATGCATTATAGAATTGGGTGAAACCGAGATGAGTGTAAATTGATGACTCGAGGAAAAAGGTAAGGGACCAACGGTGAAAAGTCGGGCCTTCCCGAAAAGTGGTTGATTCGAAAGAATTGCAGGATTGCCAGCTGGCTCATTGACGAAATGCTGGTCAGCTATTTCAACTGTTGCTCGTATGCAGCTTCACTGGTAACAAAAATCCTCGGAGGAAATGTTGGCATGATGCCCACCACCGGATAAAAACCAGAGCCAACTAATGGGGTCAAATACACTGTGACATGCAGTGATGTTAGGTTGTATCCTGCGAAATTGCTGCCATTTTCGTAGCACAAGATTATCGAGAGTAATCAATATATATAATAATATAATTACCCTTCGCCCCGATTTTTCAATGGCATATACTCGATCACGTGTCGCCGCTTGAGCAAATCTCCAAGCTCGCCCAACTCAGCATCTCCACATGCGATAACTTCAATACTACTAATATTTACCATACCAACTCCTTGCGTTGTTACAACCAATAGCGCAATGCCCCTACCAGCTGTTCACCATGGACTCTCAACTCCTCACCCCGCTCAGCACCTTAGAAACCAGACTGAACAATCTCCTAATTTCCATGGTCTCTTCCCCAACAGCTGCAGGAGCCCCAGCAGCTGCCCTCTCACTCCTAGAAGCAGATGACGCCGTCTCGAGCGCCCTTAAAACGCTACACACGCACCAATCGAACTACGCCAAAATCCTTCGTCTGCGCGCGGAAGCGCTCGCGCTGGAGCAACGGGTGCGCGACATCGTCCGCGAAGTCGAGAACGTGGGCAATGAAATATCCACCGCATGCCAGCAAGGGCCTGGTGCAAGCGATGACGATGGCAGTGACACAGATAGTGAGATGGAGACGGAAGGGGAAGATCCCGATACGCAGATGGGGGGTGTATCGACTCGTTCTCCTCGTGGTTTCGGCGGGGTAAGGACAGGGAAAGGGAAGGCCACGAACGAAATCGACTACAAATTACTTGTGAATTTTGCGCGTAGGATTAGTCGATATAACAGTGATGCAGCCGCCGGTGTTGCTGCTGATACTCCCGGGAAAACAGCGTCGCCGGAAAGGGACACGGAAGGTCAACAACAGCGAGCAAGTGCTCATGAAAACAATGGGGAAGATGCTGGGCGAGTGGGTACGGGCGGGCAGCGGGTGGCCAAGGGTGTTGGAGTTGCCGCGCTGTCTCAAGAGACGGTGTCCTGGCTGGACGAAACGGCGAACTGGTCGCGTGATTTGTCACGTATGGCATTCCCGAGTGAAGAACAAATACGGATGGGGTTGATGGGTCAATTACAGGCGAAGGCGAGCGAAGGAGTGGATGTGGAGAAGGAGCTCGAACGCTTAATCCGTGCCTCAGAAGGTACAGGCGCGGCTGGTGGTGATGATGAAGATAATGATGCGGGAGGTGGGCATGCGACGGCAGCGGATGGGATGGCTATTGGGCGGGAACATATATCCGTTTCTGGGCATGGCCATGCTGGAGGGTCCATTGGTCAGGCAGATACTGTTATGGGAGGAGTTTCAGCACCGAAGGAGAAACCCAAGGCTGTGTTGGATCTGGATTTATATGACCCCGATGAGGATGATTAAAGGCTTCCAGCCCAATTGAATTAGAGTTCTCTATTTTGAAATTCGGAATCTTGGATGGGTGTATATCAAGGATATTCTTACAGGCTATGGGATGAACCACCCTTGTTCGAGTCTTCCGCCTTTTCTAATTCTTCACCTTCAAATGCCGACTCATCACCAAACTTCATCAAATACACCATGCCATGCCGATCTCTACAGTTCGTTCAAATTACTCCTACTCAAACTGTCGCACGATGACTATACTGGTATACAACCCAATGATCTTGCCAAGATATATAAACCGGGAAAATGAAAGTTCTGTACACAGTGACCACAGCAAAAGTCATAAAAAATCGTGGTGCTAAACACCAGTGGGTTCAAAATAATACTATACAAATAGCAGCATGCATGCAAGTAACTCAACAAAGTCACATACGATGCACCTTCGAATTAGCCGTGATCTTTCTCAGCCGCTTGCCATAGTAATAAAAGATGATCCCACAAGCACAGAAAAGGGTTGTCAAACACATGTTCAGCATGATAGCGGGAATGAAGCCACTGCGCTGCGTCCATGGCGTAATGAACTCGCTCAAGCCGTAGCCCCAGAGGTTTTTGTTCACAGTAATGGTGACGAAGATGCTTCCGGCAATGGGCTTGTAGCTGTCGACAGCGTACGTGCTGGAGATAGATGGAAGTGCAGCTACTTGGATTCCAATGGCGGTATAGCCGATTATCACGATTATCTATAGATATTTGGTATTAATCAGACGAAGTAGCCATGGAACCCAAAACAAGTAGATTGCCGTGTAGTGGTGGTGGATAAAAAGGGGAGATTGTCATACCTTCCAATCCCATTTGTGCTCGTACCCAAATGCCACGACAAAGTTCCCAATAATCATAATAATAACATATGGTATCATAGCAGGGAGCCTCATCTCCGGTTCTCGAATGCCTCTATTTTTCTTCGTGGCGCGCATAGAAATCCAATCAGAGAGGTACCCGTTTGTGGCCAGTCCAATACCGATACCAACTATCACGGCAAAGTTGAAAAATCCAACTGTCTGACTGTTGAAATTATATGGTGGTGCCGCAAAGAGCTGACTCTGGGTTACGTTAACCACGAGAAAAACGCTGGCCGACCAGGAAACAATGAAAGCTGCCAGGTGGACAATAGGGAAGATGTGGAGCTTCCAGGGGATCCAAAAGTCAAGCAACAGACTTTTAACTGGATGTTCGACCATCAAAAATGGTCTAAACTGTCTCAATGAAGGTTTCCCCTTGGAAAGGTATGGATCACTGTTTTTATGTTCATTTTCGATTTCAGATTCTGTGGATGGTTCCGCCGAACCGGCTTCCACGTTGGCGGCATCCTTATCAGTCACACCGTTCCCCGCAGCCAGATCCCTTGGGTGAGTCCGAGGCCATCTCGTTTCAGGGAAAAAAAATATCAATAATACTAAAACAAAACCTAACAGGCCGACATTGAGCCACCAGAAGTCACGCCAGTGTAGATTATGCGCCATAGATCCGGAAATAACTGGTGATATCTAGCAATAGTAAGTATCGACCTTGATACAACCCTTGCGTTGAACAGGAAATCATACCACCAACGCTCCGAAATAAAACGTGAAGTAGAGCGTATTGTATGCGCCCCGTTCGTGGAGGAACATAATATCCGCGATTATTTGCGGCTGCGCAGTCTACGTAGCGCGTCAGATGAGATAATTTTGGGATAGATATGGACAAAGGTTTCTCACCTCTGCTGGTCCAGCACCAAAGCCATTCAAAATGCAGGCTCCCATAAAGCTCCCGTAGGACGTGGCAAGGCCTCTCCAAATCGAAGCAACCAAACACACCAAGGTAGATAAAATCAATACTGGTCTTCTTCCAAAGCATGTTTGCAATGGAACCCTACAGGTGCCCCGTCAATGAGCGGCCAAAAAAAGAGAGGAAAGGAAAGGAAGGAGAAGAAGGAGAAGGAGAAGGAGAAGAAGAAGATGAAGAAGAAATGCTGGAAACGATGACTTGAATCAATCTCTCAACTCACCAGAAAAAATTGCTAAACCCAAGAACAAGAATACAAACACCAGTAAACTTAACAGCACCAGCTAAGTCGGTATCAAAATCTTGGATTAATTGAGGGAACATAGGGGCCAAAGCTAGGGGGCCAAATGCTTGCGTAAACGTTACTGCTGTTGAGAGAAACATTGCAGTCGCTTTCCAGAAAGGGTTCCAATTCTATTTTGTCAGTAAAAGATCATTTATTTCGAGTTCCAGCAGGAATGGAAACGGTCATGATATCCAGCATATCCACAAAAAGTACACTCACCAAGGGATCGCTGGGATTATTAGAAGGCTGTGGGACCAAGACACGATCTGAACGCTTAGACGACTTGACAAAATGATGGGAGCCAACATCCGTCATAATCTCCGTGCCAGGGTAGATCTTGGTGTTCAACTCCTTCTCAATCCTAAACAAGTTTAAGTCAGTGACGAATGGTAAATATATTAATCATCTCCAATGTGTCAAACTGACTGCCGGAGGGCCTAGATATGGAGGATGATATTAGTACACATCTCTTCTCCCAGTTTGTTTGGATAATATGAATTGAAAATTTGTACTCAGAACCTAATATCTAGAGTAATAAGGTACCAAATAAAATATATATAAGAAAATTTCAACCTACCTCTTCATCATTGTTCATCTCCATTTTCGACGCAACGAAAACCGGATAACTATGTAGTAAACAGACCCAAGTTGAAGACGTGCAGCGAAATCAAATATAGGGCTCGACAAGTAATGTAACCTCTAGCTACTGAATCCAACCCATTGATGGGCTGGTCCTCCTTGGTTCTTGGGGGGAAACGGTTTGTTCAGATAAGGTAGAGATGAAGAGGATGGAGCGACGACCAAGTCGATTTCACGGATAGCTTTAAGCAGTATATATAGATGCTCTCCGCTGCGACTCTGGAGATTGGAAGGAGAGGTGGCGCGGCAATGAAAGCACTCTACTATTCCACTAACTTAGCTTGTTTAGGATGGAGTCATTATTGGTAGAAACGGGGTTTCTAAATTTGTCTCTGGATTGAGTATGACAGGATGATTGTTTCATTGTTGGCATTACTCTGACACAGGGGCATACGATTGCATCCATGGACAGAACAAATCACCTTCATGAGACAGATGCCAATCACCATTGTGAAGCAGTTCGGGGCAGCACAGTACCTGAGGATGTGCGGGGTATCTTTTGCACCATACTCGTATAATTCAGGTAAACGTGATCTGCTAGATGCGAAAGTGGCAGACTTCTGATTAGGTTGGGGAGCAATCCTGCACAATCAGATAGTACCGATCTGCCTCACGCATCAGGTCAGATCACCCCGACATCCATGGATTTCTCATGCAACTTCCCAGAATTATTCGGTGCTTCTCCTAATCCTTCATTGGCTAGAGTCAAGAATAAATGATGAATATGACACGCGTAAACAAGCAACAACAGCTGCAACTCGCTGCTTGTTGGGAGTGCATACAGCACATTCGGTCCAATCCAAAGGGCTTGGGCTAGCTGGAACTCGCACCATGACATTCTTGGACAACGTCAATTTCCGAGAAAAGCCCCTTTGATGCCACGCTTGGTTCGACCTGTTGAGCATAAAACATCCTGTTATAGGTATCCCGAGATGGGCGATACCAGCTCGAGGATTGACCGTTATGGCGCAGAGGTTCATTAGCTCCTTGTTAAAAGCTCGTCATGACCCACTCGCCTCGTCTCTAATGAATGACCCCATTCCTCTATATCTCCGCTCGCATTCGATGGCTTGGAAGGCCGGTTTGTTAGCCGGGTTCGGCACACAAACTCGGCAACTTTTGGGAGATCGACGTTTGAGAGTCCTTGGGGGTTAGATCCGATATTACGCAGCAGGGGTGAACAGGGCTGAGGATAAGGAGCACAATTGGCGACATTGTGGCCCTTCTTCATGATCACCATCAGCGGAATGCCAGGCTGAAGTGGAGCAAAGACGTGGATCACGGATGGGGCCGAATTTAACTATAGTTGGTTGTTTATATATTTTTAGTCAGCCTGGCGTCTACTCATCCCAGCACCTGAAGACAGAGGACGACAACTCAGCTCAGACATCGAATTCCGCTGGAATGCATTCAACCGTTTATGCTTACCTACCATTCTTCTTGAAACCTCTCAGATATCTGCATAATGCTTAGCTGCAAGTACCACAGCTGTGGAATCAAAGCACTCAATGATGCTGATATCATCGCGGATTTTGCGTACTTCGCCTTGTGATCGATGGTAAATAATAACAGCGCCCATAATCACAGCAACAACAGCAGCAACGAGCCAAGATGGCTGCGGTGGTTCTTCCTCCCCCGGCGCAAAAGTTTGCTGCCTTGTTCCTGCTGCTGCTGCTGCTGCAGTTTTCTTACTCACTGTTGTATTCTCGGCTCTTCCTGTTGCTTTCCTGCTCATCACATTCTTCTTCCGTTTCTCTAATGTGCATGCTTTTCCTTGCCCATGCGCCCATCCGCCCATCCATTCTACAGTGCAATCCTGTGGGATATTTGTTGATAGTCCTATTGTTACGATATGACTGCATCAGACCCTGTTTCTCAGGTTGGCGCGCAAGAAGAGCCTACGCGCTCTCGTTCCCGCCATAAATCCTACCCCAGATTCATCCCGAGATTTCAAGCGAGCTTACTCGACAGACTGCCGTTTTCCGCTGAGAGTGACGTCTTACGGTCGTCTTCTTTAGCGTCCGAGTCTCGTCCTATGGGCGGAGAAGATCGCAATCCGAAACATAATGGACATCGGAAATCATTCTCCTCACAACCATCGCAATCACCCCAATCACCCCAATCACCTCCTATAACACCGACAACTCCGATAGCTCCCGTTCAAGGTGAGGTGGAAAAAAAAGTTCTGCTTCTCGAAAGTGATTGCTATGACAAGCTTGGATTCAGCTTCCCGCGATGGAAAAAGTGGACAATCCTCAGCGTCGTCTTTTTCGTACAATTATCAATGAACTTCAACACTAGTATCTACTCCAATGCCATCACGCCCTTAGCTCTCCATTTCTCTATTTCCGAGCAAGCTGCTAGAGTAGGCCAGATGATTTTCCTTGTTGCCTACGCGTTTGGGAGTGAGCTGTGGGCCCCTTGGAGTGAGGAGCTTGGTCGGTATCCAGTCATGCAGCTTAGTTTGTCTCTGGTTAATCTATGGCAAATACCCTGCGCGTTGGCTCGGAATTACCACACCATTGTGATTGGGCGCTTTTTCGGCGGTTTATCCTCTGCTGGTGGTTCTGTTACACTGGGGATGATTGCCGACATGTGGGAGCCCGATGACCAACAGTTTGCTGTCGCTTTCATTGTACTTTCGTCTGTTGCGGGGTCTGTCATAGCGCCCATCGTCGGGGGCTTCATGGAGTTTTACCTTGATTGGAGATGGAACTTTTGGGGCCAGCTCATCTTTGGAGCAGCAGCTCAACTCGCTCACTTATTGTTCGTGCCAGAAACAAGGACTACTATCCTGTTAGACAGAGAAGCTAAACGGCAACGTCGGGCGGGAGAGACAAATATTTACGGCCCCAGCGAGATCGATGGGATGGGAATTACTATGAGAGATGTGGCGATAATCTGGGCCCGACCGTTTAGTATGTTTGTACGCGAGCCCATCGTGTTTTGTTTGTCACTTCTCAGTGGCTTTAGCGATGCCTTGATTTTCACCTTCCTCGACTCGTATGATTTTGTGTATGCCCAATGGGGATTCGGTCTCATACAAATTGGTCTAGCTTTTATACCGTAAGAAGATTCCATTACGCATAAATGGTGTCTAAAATTTGAATGCGTTCTAACTCTGCAATATAGTATCCTCATTGGATACTTCATTGGTTATATCAGCTTTCTCCCCGTCATGATAAAGCACCGAAAGATTCACAGAAGAAATCCAAAAACCCTTGAACCGGAATCAAGGTTATGGTGGTTGTTATTTAGTAAGGCTATTCTTTCTTATGTTTCTGGATATCTGTGAAGCTGACATGGTTGTTTTACGTTAGCGGCCCCTCTAGAAACTATAGGCTTATTCGGATTTGCATGGACAAGTTTAGGTCCTCCTCAAGTACATTGGATTGCTCCCATGTTATTTTCCCTATTGATTGCGGTTGCAAATGTAAGTTGATATTCCCATTCATGTTATCCAAATTAATTGTGTTCATTGTAATTTAACGAGACCATAATAGTACTGCATCTACATGGCGACAATTGACTACATGGTCGCAAGCTATGGACCGTATTCAGCGTCTGCGACGGGTGGTAATGCACTCGCAAGGGATTTCCTTGCGGGGATTGCAGCGATGTATTCAACCCCGTGTGAGTTTTATTATGCCCATTGTCAATGAAAATTTCATTTATTTTGCTAATATAATGTAGTGTACGAATCAATCGGCAACAAGTATCAACTTGAATGGCCGTCGACCATTCTCGCCATTGTCTCATTTATTGTCACCGTTCCCATTTACGTATTTTACTGGAAAGGCCCCATAATCCGAGAGAAATCCAAATTCGCAAAAACTCTGGCAACCGACAGGAAGGCTCGGAACATTCGCCAGATGGGCGAAAAAAATAGGTCAAATATGGGACAGACGAGTGAAAGCCAGCTCAGCCAGTCAAGCGGACTGATCTATGGGGTAAACAGCAAACATGGTATTCATTAATAATCGGCGTTTTTTGAAATGGATTTCTGTTGGAGGGCTTAGAGCATCTTGCTCTCTGCCATGGTATATCGTGGTATTCGGGTATTCGGTAGGTGATATTTTTTTGGGGTTTTTTGTCCATGGCGCTTGCACCAGCATAAACATTATTACCCCTACAGTAGTTATATGATTCGATGTTAATCACGGCGAAAGTTTGGTGGCATTCGAGTATGGCCTGTTTGATTGATTGATTCTTTTATTATTCTTTATGATGGGCGTTTGTGTAAAGGTGAACATAACTACCGTGTGATATACCTTACGTATAGTCATTACTCTGCATAATTTTACTTTTTTTTTTTTTTTTTTTTTGGCGAGCGAAGGGAGAAACAAAACAATGGGGAAAGAAATGAACAAAGGTTGGATAAAATATGTGCAAAGCCAAGTTTTATACACTGAAAGTTAAATTCGCGACGCTCATCGGCATGAAAAGGCGCGATGGCGGAGTGGTTAACGCGAGAGACTAGAACTAACTAAATACAAGCTCCATCTCTTCCCTTCGGGGGCGTAGGTTCGAATCCTGCTCGCGTCGTACTCTTTTTTTTTTTTTTTGTATTTATTTTTCTCGTCTTTTTCTCATCCTTTTCTTCTTTGCTATTGAATTTACTGGCTATTTGATTCCTAATTCCAGAGACGTTGGAAAATAAGTCCTTGCATTTAACAACAGTTCAGTGGAATCCAATCTTGATGCCTAACTCGACAACCAAACTTTAGGCCTTGAGCCCCTAAACCCGCAGCCTGCTAACGGGCGTGTACTGTACCATGATTGCTTGACTACAATATAAATTTCTAGCCTGTGCGAAGGGACTTATTTTCCACGCATCCGTATATTTTTTCTTTTGTTTTTGCATGTACATACAAAAGCATTAAAGCGAGCGTAGAGAGCGAATCATTCTTAAGTGTTCTTGCTCTGCTCACCAAAGACCATTCCACACAGTTGTTTCACCAAAAAAAGATCTTAGCCGTTGACCTCCTGTTGGTGCGGACGCAAATGCAGATTATAAAAGGGGTTGTAGAAATGGAGTGGAAACAATGCGCATCGCATTACGGTAAAAGACCAGAAAGAACGAAAGGAGGACTTCGCAAAAGCCGGTTTCCCGTCAGAATGGTGAGAAGAGATATTTCTCTGTATTATTTTTTCCCCCCAGGGGATGTGACTAGTGGGAGGTAAATGACCTGTTTTCCCTAAATTTACGTGTCAATTTCGACTTCCTCTCTACCAGGGTGTGAGCTTAAGAACCCTTCCAAACCACGACGTTGGATTCTTCTGCTTTTCTGTAGCCACCTGCACGGGGGCCTCGAGCTTGCCATATCGCTGAAAGTCCTCCTCTGTCATGAACGGCGTGAACACTGCATCAGCTGGCTGTTTCGGTGTAGACATTACAGAGAGGTCAATATCACGAATCATTTCCATTGTGACAATTGGCTTGGTTGGAGGGGTCCACGGGCGGCAATTGGGAGCAGACGGTGTGTCTGGACCATTGCTGTTATCAGCTGTGGATACATCTTCACCGGTTCCCGCTAGTCTGCGTACGATGTCTGGGTAGTTCTGTAAACGATGTGGGTGGAAGAGGATATCCACAACATCCTCGCGCCGGCAGAGTTGAGTCTCAAGACGTAGGTATTCTTCATGGTTAGAGCAATTACCGTTGCCTGCTTCATTTTCATACCTCTCCTTCTCAATAGCGAGCCGCTCTGTTTTCCACCGGAAGCAATCGTCCCAGTGACGTTCCATCAGCGTCTCGTTGGGCTTTATCAGCTGCGCTATCCAGACACGGTCAATAGATGCGTTGAAACGAACCTTGCGGAGCACGTGGAGGTATATGGTTTTCCAACCGGGGCTTTCCGCACTGGCATGCTGTGTCCAGCAAAATGATGTGAGGCAGGACGGGAACGTGCATTTCGCGCGGAGATCGATCTGGTCAAAGAAACACGGATAGCGCTGGTCGAGCGGCTCGGAGACTGTGTTGCGCGGGATGTCGCAGAGGTCCATAATCGTGCTGTCACTGAGGCGCACATGCGGGCAAGTGGGCAAGTCAAAGCCGTTGAGGATCTTGGCGATTTGCGCCTTCGAAGCGTGTTTGTGCATTGGCAGTGTGAGGATGTCGTAGTGCGTCCATAAGGTGTATCTGCGACCATAGACATTATCCTCACTCAATGCAATGGAGTGAGGGGTTCGCATCTTGTGCAGCCGAGTGGGCCGTCCATCTAGATCTGCAAAGCTAAAGCATTTGCCCGGCTCTACCCAGAAGCCTCTGGTGTGCTTAATGCATGTGCGCTCGTTGACGGGCTTGTTAAGGTCGGTTGGGTGAAAGAAGAGGGGGAGATGCCTAGAGTGACATGGATCGCAGCAGGCGAGTTTCCGGTTGGACTTAAATCCACACAATTCGCGGGAGCGGAGAAAATCGTAGATCTTCAATTCATCTCTTATAGTCTGGTTCCTCGTGGTTTTTTCAAATTCCTGGCGCATTGAGGGGTCATTCAAGTACGATGGGGGGATTGCCTCAAAGAAGCTGTAATAGAAGCGCTTGCAGGTCAGGGAAAAGACGAGCCTGGAACCCGGCGAAAGGAATGAATGTATGAGTTGGAGAATTTCCCCAGGCAGGAATTGCAGAGTAGGCTTTTCGGACATCATTTTTACAACCTAGAGCCCCGGACTTGTTATATATATGAATGTATGTATATTGTCCACGTTATCTGTGGAAGGTTCACTTGGGAACGGAGGAAATGCCCAGTCAAACAGAAGCAATATTGTATATGGGTTTTCCTCCCAAAGGAGATAATAGTTGTTGGTTCTGCTGGGTGGAATGGATACGGTGTCCTTGTCGTTTGAGGATCCCAGCTGGAGAAGAAAATAACCGTTCAGCCTACCGTGAAGCGCCCCAACCAGCGCTTCTAGGCACAAGTTAATTTCAGGTGCAGGGGCACTCAATTCTACTGGTCAGGAGAAATGCGAGTTCTTCATTGGTTTGAATGGATGCCGATAGCGAAGCCACGAGGGGCAAATGGCGTAGTATTCTTTTTCTTCAATTTTCAATACAGCTGGTCGTTAGGAGAGGCCATCCCATCATTCCGTGGTATAACGTGAGTGGCAGCACTGCGGAGACCAACTTGATGGAGATAAAAGGGTTCTGGCCATGAAGAATTGGTGGTCATAGAGGTGGTTCCCAGCGTAATGAATGTGGTCCAAGGCTGTCCAGAGATGCCCCAATCAGATACTTTTCTATCCAGCCAGATGACACCTTGGCAGCTGGGGATATGGCATATCTCGAAGCATCAGGAGAGAAACGACAACATTCACCTGACATGGGGAAGCTGATTGATTGAAACTGGCGAGCTACCGGTGGAACAGCTTCCGGTCTTGGGACAGGCGAACTGGCTGCTGGCTGCATCAGCCAAGAATCAAGATCTATTCCAAGTGTGAGTGACGTTATAGAAGCTGTCGGAGATCGTAGCGATGATGAACCTCGGCATAGTTACTGGTAACTAACAGGAGAAGTCTCCATATAGAAATTCCGATCCGTCCTCCGTTGCGACACAAACAATCAAGAATCTCCAACATCTCCTCCAACAGCACCAATTTTTCTGCGACTTACTGTCAGCCACGACGCCTTTCCTTTCCCCACAACGTACGATTGTGCCTGTTAAACCACGAGCTAAGGCGCTAGATGCGGGCCAGGCCTTAGCTGCGACTGTCTCACATCGTATTCCTTGAACTGGGCCTCGGTGTCATATGCTCTAGGCAATGATTCTGAGTTTCGCAGTAAGCCTCCCTTCCTCACAGCAATTGCGCTTTTGCTTGTATGTCTCCATTAAAAATACACATACACATGTAGATATATATATCTATGGGTTCTGGGTGGATATCCCCACTCGTCCTATGTTACTTGCGCGAACTATATCCTATAACCCGGCTACCAAATTATGACTGAAAGAAAGAAGCCGTTCACTAATGTTCCCAATGGTCGTATGGCACAGAAATCGCCCTTCACGGTCGATGTCCCGGGCTACGAGGCTGTCCAGGGAGAAGCCATCCCTCGCCGAAATATAAACTACAAGGACCAATTGCTCGAGCGACCAGAGGACTCAATCAACACCGTATATGATATCGTCAAGCGGGGGGCTGCGAAGTTCGGAAATGCAAAATGCATGGGCTCGCGAGAGCTTCTACAGGTGCACAAGGAGAACAAGAAGGTGAAGAAGCTGGTGGGCGGGGAGGAGCAGGAGGTGGATAGGGAGTGGTCATACTTTGAATTAAGTGGCTACAACTTCATCAGCTTCCATGAGTATGAAAAATTGACTCTGCAGCTCGGGGCGGGTCTGAGGAAGCTTGGCCTGGCCAAAGGGGATAGGCTCCACCTTTATGCAAGTACGAGGTAGGGTAAATAAAAATATACATCCACATCCAGCTGCTGGTCCTGTTGCTTACTTCTGCTAACATTCCTTTCCCCCAGCGATCGGTGGCTTGCTGTGGCCCATGGTGCGATTTCGCAGTCCATGCCTATTGTTACCTCGTACGACACCCTTGGCGAGGAAGGGCTGCGGCATTCAGCTGTAGAAGCTGGTTCCAAAGCTCTCTTTACAGATCCGCAGCTTCTGGGCTCAGTCGCTAAATTGCTGGCTGATGCTAGATGTATCAGAGTGGTTATTTACAACAAAACCTGCCTGCTCCAAGAGGAGGCGTTGAGTTCCCTGAAATCTGCACATCCTACGGTGACTGTTATCAGCTTTGAGGAGCTCAGGAAGCTTGGAGAGGATCATCCCGTCGAGCCTGTTCCTCCAGATGCGAAAGACATGGGCATGATCATGTACACTTCAGGTGCTACGGGACCTCCAAAGGGCGTGTCCCTGAAACATAAACATGTTGTCGCTGCTGGTATGTACGCTGTTCAACTGGAGCACACCCGACTAAAACTTTGACAATCCTTCTAATCAGTTGTGATATAATAGTTGCTGGAATCGATTCGATGATTGGACGCCATATTGGTCCCAGTGACACTGTCCTAACGTTTCTCCCCTTGGCGCATATTTTCGAATTTGTATTCGAGCACGCAGCACTGTTCTGGGGTAGTCCAATGGGCTACGGAAACCCCAAAACGCTTGCAGACATATCCACCCGCAACTGCAAAGGTGATATCCGGGAGCTCAGGCCAACCCTGATGATCGGTGTGCCGGCTGTGTGGGAAACCGTGAGAAAGGGCGTCGTTACAAAAGTTGGGCAAGCTGGGTTGATATCGAAAGCGCTCTTCTGGGCAGCTTTCTACCTCAAACGTACGCTCGTCAATCATCAGTTTGGCTGGTCGGCTATTTTGAACTCTGTAATCTTCAAAAAGATCACCGAAGCCACCGGAGGCAGGCTCAGATTCGTTATGAATGGAGCTGGCCCCATTGCTCGGGAGACGCAAGAGTTTATCTCTCTGGTGGTAGCTCCCATGGTTATCGGATACGGTTTAACCGAAACATCCGCGTAAGACTAGCAAACTTCCTTCCAATGATTTTTTCTGAAAAATAAAAGAAGATGGTACAGCTAACCGCAAAAATCCGATAGCATGGCGTCTGTTTCCGATCCATGGGGATGGTGCCATGAGACGCTGGGCGATATCCCCGGCTGCGTTGAAGTCAAACTGGTTGATTTCCCGGAAGCAGGGTATTATACAAAATCTACGCCGCCACAAGGCGAAATCTGGGTTCGAGGGAATAGCGTCATGGAAGGATACTATAAAAACGACCCCCTAACGGCCGAAGTCATGACAGCGGATGGCTGGTTTAAATCCGGGGATATTGGGCAGTGGGATGAAAATGGCCACCTCCGAGTCATTGACCGGAAGAAGAGTCTAGTCAAGACTCTGAATGGGGAATACATAGCACTGGAAAAGGTGTGTCTTGGTTTTATACAGCTAGCTCTTTTCTTCTAACTTTAACCGTTGTTTTTTTTTTTTTTTTTTTTTTTTTTTTTCAATTATTATTAATATTAACAAGACGGGTTTTGCGTAGCTCGAATCCGTATACCGGACTGCGAGTGTAGTGGGGAACATCTGCGTTTACGCGGCGCCCGATAAAGCCAAAGCAGTCGCCTTGGTGGTCCCCGTTGAGCAGGCGTTGAAGAACGTAGCTGTAGAGAACGGCATCCAGAACCAGGATCTCGTCCATGACAGGAAGCTTCGAAGTGTTGTGCTGCAGAATATGCAGACGATCGGACGGAAGGCGGGGCTTACTGGGTTGGAAATCATTGATGCCGTTGTGCTCGTGGAGGAGCCGTGGACGGCGCAGAATGTAAGTTTCCTTCCTCTTCGAAGGTTTTTTTTTTTTTTTCGGCCTTAAGCCTTGAGTGCAGTAAGCAGGCTAACGTGTTTCTGCAAAAACAATCTTAGGGGCTCACGACGGCGACGGATAAACTGAACAGGAAAGTCATTCATGACAAGTATAAAGCTGAAATCGACGATGCGTATGAGCGCGGATAAGAATGCAGGCCTCCTAACAGAGCAGTATTCGTCGTCCCGCTACAATGTTCCTTCTAAGCCGCCAGGGCCTGCACCTTTTATACGACATAAGTATGTATATATTCATCATATTAATCAACGGGTGGAGTTATTTAATGACTGGGGCGGATGGCGGAGGACTGGAGGAGACGGAACAAAACCAACCCTGGACGCCCTGATCTTCAGCATGTATTTAAAAATGCTTTTCATCTGGCGACCTGACATGGTGGATACATGACCTGCACTTTCTAGTGAAAGAGAGCGGCGTGGTATTTATTTTATTTTATCGGTATTGTGTTCCGGCAGTTGCACGCAGCATTTATGTGGTTACGATAGTCATGAACGAGATGTAGTTAACTATTCATTCCCCTTTCCCAGTGATTAATCCACTACGACAAGAAATCAATTGAATGTCTTATCTATACGCCCGAGCCCATTTTATTGTTATTTTTCCCCCTCCCTTTCCTTGCATTTCCCCTGTATGTATGTGAATGGAGGCCAGATGAACTTTGATGTGATGGTATTGGATGGAGATCAACCTCTGTTCGAGTCTTGAAGAACGGCTGCTCCTGGCGCCACTGCGTCATGGTCTGACGTTCGGCCACTCATCAGCCAGCGAAACAACAGTGCCCGTTCAACGTTCACGGGGGGCGACGTGGGTGGCGGTTCTGCGTGCAGTCCAACGCGACGTTGGCGCGGGTGTTGCTGGGGAGTTGGGGAATTCAACAACGTCAACGCCAACGTCAATGTCAATGGTGGCGCCGGGCTTCTGGAGTGGTGCGAGGTTGGGGTGGCCTGCGGTGGTTTTTGGTTCTCTCGCGGGTGACGGAGCTGGGTATGCGGGTGCGGAGGAAGGGATGGTTGTTTCGGGGGCAATTCGGGCTTGGGTGAGTTATTTCTAAGTTTCGGTTTTGTGGATAGAGTCAGAGGTGTTGTGCTGGAGTTGCGAGTAACCAAACCATCCTGTATATAGCTTCATTGTGACGTATATATTTGCATATGGTTTAATATATATAGAGATATCACAAGAGTAACTTTGCAGTTCACGAAGACAATACTAGTAGTAGTAGCAGTAGTAGTAGTAGATAATATCAACATGCACCAGAGCAACCCGTACCAGATGGCAATCTACACGGCTGGCCATCAAGGTAGACGGCGCTTTGCTTGAACCTTCAAAGCACCTCTTCCGGAATATGTAACTTCTAACACCCACTGAGGGTCTCAACGAGTCTCTGGATCTATCTCCCTTCCTCTCGGCCCGGTTGACTCGGGCTTGACTAGTAACTAGCTTAGTTAAATCGGATTCAAAAGCTTCAAAATTCCCCATTCTGTTCCGTACAATGGCGACAACCTAGCCAAACCGCTGATGAAGTTGCTCCATGAGCTCACTGATTCTAGTACTCCTGCAAACCCACTGTTAATCCGTGTCTCGTTCAGAATAAATAACCCATGATACCGCTTGGGTACTAGTTATTGGGCGACTCGAGAATATGCATATACATCCTCAGTCCGGTCCATCCGTTGTCTGCTTGACTGGCCAACTGGACAACCAACCAACCCTCAATCCCAGGCACAACGAAATCCGCTGCTCTCAGCTAAATTACCCGGGGATATGTTGATGGCTAGATGGCTCTGCCCGATTGCTCTCTCCCTTCTCCCTTCGCGGCGACCCGAGCCCACTCTCGGGGTAGCTGCGAGCATGGCCTGGACTCTTCGGAGTATTCAACAATAGCAATCTGCATGGGGCTTGTCTCCTTGTTGTTGTGCGGGACATATCCCATAATGATCCGCTGTCAGCGCTAAGTTATTCTCTAACTAACTAGCTAACTAACTAGCCGATCAGCCGCTAGGGGCTGTAGGAGCATACGCAGTATATAAATATCAATACCTACTAGGCACTATTCAAGGAGCCCTCGAAACCCCGTTTCTACTAAGGCGATTCTTCCAGCATCGGAGGCGCCCGTTTGGATGCCTTTTGGGCTGCGGTTAGCTACTGAGTTCGGTTATGGCACGACCCTGCGCTGGACTGCTGTTCCTATGTCTGTGGCCGCTGGCTGGTTCTGCGGCTGCAGGTTCATATCGGATCTTGGACTTTGTTGACCCGCTCATAGGGACTACCAATGGAGGTTGGTACTGCTATCCTGCTATCCTGCCGCGCTGCCGCTGCTCTGTGAATTTGTATTTCGCCTTGCTTACCTATTTCGATTCCAGGCCATGTTTTCCCCGGTGCGACTTTGCCCTACGGTAAGGGACCCAGAGCGATCTCTCGAGGGAAGAGCCCTGGAGGGCGTACTCTATCTGTCTAACCCACTACATAATAGGGATGGCGAAAGCAGGACCTGATACCGACGGAGAGGCTCAAGGAGGTTTTGACGGGAATGCACTCTCCGTTCGGGGTTTCTCCCACATGCATGATTCAGGCACTGGCGGGGTATGCGGATATATTTCCTATTTTCCTTCCATATGATGACCCCTGAAAACTTGATGAGTTTTGGGCCAAAATAGTAGTGCTGGTCTCTCGTCCCCCATGACATCAGTTCAAGATCCTTCTAACTCGCGCCTTCTTTGCTACAGAGCTTTTCCTTTGGAGCTTTCTCCTTGTTCGCTCACTCATCCTGCCCGGATGACAACATGAACAAGTGCAAGTTTGATAAGCTTGCACGTGCAACCCCATGGGTTAAGGACAGTGTCAAAGCCAGCCCTGGCTATTTTGGCATCACTCTCCAGGATGGGGTCACCACAGAGATGACGGTGACCAACCGTAGCGCTCTATATAAATTTACTTTCCCCGAAAATCCATTCCCCGGCTTGGACGTCCCGCTCAGCCCGTTCATCATCGTTGATTTGTCTGATATGCAAGGCACGCGCCATCAGAGCAAGGTTTCCGTTGATCCAGAAACCGGACGAGTGAAGGGTGGTGGTTCGTTTAACCCCAGCTTCGGCAAAGGAACATACCAGCTATATTTCTGCACTGATTTTCAAGGAGCGGACGTCCGCCAGGCGGGTATATTCAAAACTGAAGACGGGAAATCGACACCCGTACTCAGAACAGATTCCAACATAGTTAGTAGACTTGACACCGATAGCGACCTGTTAGGAGCGTTTGTTCAGTTTCAAGCGCCGGATAACAGAGAGTTGATCGCCCGTGTGGGCCTGAGCTTTATGAGTATCGATCAGGCTTGTTCCAATGCCGAACGAGAGCAGCCATTTTTCGACTTTGATGCCACTGTGTCAGCTGCTGAGGAGGTATGGGCGCAGAAGCTTGGGGTTATCGAAGTCAATGCGGTAGGCTTGCCGCGGGATTTTGAAGTTACTTTCTGGAGTGGGGTTTATAGGACACTTATCAGCCCTCAAGATTATTCGAATGAAAACCCTTTGTGGAAAAGCGATGAACCATATTACGATAATTTTTACTGGTTAGTAGAAATGCTCCTTTTTAACCCTTTGTCCCCTCCAATGAGTTGAGATGGATCCAAGAAGGAAAAAAGTTCCTAACCAGTTATTGTGCGTAGCATCTGGGATTCCTTCCGTACCACCCATCCATTCATAACAATTCTCGACCCTCAAGCTCAGGCGAACATGGTCCGCAGTCTAATAGATATTTATCGACATGAAGGCTGGCTTCCCGACTGCCGCATGTCCCTCTGCAAGGGATTCACCCAAGGTGGCTCAAATGCAGACGTCGTTCTTGCGGACGCCTTTGTTAAACGTCTCCCTGGTATTGATTGGAAATCCGGGTACGAGGCTTTGATCAAGGATGCAGAAGTCACTCCCCCAGACTGGAGTATTGAGGGTCGAGGAGATATCGAGAGCTGGAAGTCGGTGGGCTATGTCCCCGTTGACAGCAAGCCGAAGGGCAGAGGCGTTCGCTCACGAAGTGTCTCGCGCACAGTCGAATATGCATACAACGATTTCTGCATTGCATTATTGTCGAAAGCATTGGGACACGAGGAGGACTATATCAAATACACGGATCGCGCGAAATTCTGGAAGAATCTATATCGGGAAGACCAGACCATTGTAATCAACGGGACGGACACGGGCTTTGTAGGATGTCTCCAACCGCGTCATGAAAATGGGGAATGGAGTTACCAAAATCCAATCCAATGCAGCCCCCTGCTTAACCCGCATTCATGCTATTTGAATGAGGATGGTGGCGAGTCATACGAAGGGAGTCTCTTCATGTATACCTTGTATGTTCTCATATATATGTTCCTTTTCTTTTTTGACCCCGTAATATTACTCTCCTTGGATCTATTTAATCGCTCACAAAAGAGTATCTAGCTATGTTCCCCAGGATATGGCAACGCTCGTAGACACGCTAGGAGGACCCGATGCATTCACCAAGCGTCTAGACTACCTGCACGAATCCGGCCTGCTCTACGTGGGGAACGAACAAGCCTTCCTCTCGGTATACCAGTACCACTACTCAGGTCGTCCCGCGCTCTCGGCAGAGCGCGCCCACTTTTACATCCCCTCGCAATTCAACAATACCCCCAACGGCATCCCGGGCAATGACGACAGCGGAGCGATTGGCTCGTTCCTCGCATTCGCGATGATCGGCCTGTACCCCATCGCAGGCCAAGATGTATACCTCATCACCCCACCGTTCTTCGCCGAGGTGAAGATCCGTAATCCCCTCACGGGGAACGTGGCGATTATCCGGAATATACACTTCGATCCCTCGTATCGGGCGATCTATATCCAGCGGGTGAAGCGCGATGGGAAAGCTTGGCGTAAGAACTGGATCGGACACGATTTCTTTGAGAACGGCGGTGTTTTGGAGCTGATTCTGGGGAAGAGGGAGAGTAAATGGGGAACACGAATGGCGGATTTGCCACCCAGTTTATCCACTGGAGGGGATTTAAGGTGGCAAAAGGTAACCGGTTGAAGCACGGAGGTACTAACTACTAGTAACTATTGTTAAGAGCTAAGTAAGCCGAGTACATAGTTTTCACTGCACTCATTAGATTTTTAACGTGGATGGGCGATTATTCGATGTCTCTTTGGCTGAAAGGGAAGTTCTCATTGTTTTCTTCATTCTTCTTCATGATTAGTTCACGCGATATATTATTACTGTCCGCTGAATAGAGACCCCCGTCAGGGCCCTTTTATTAATAGAGAAAGAGAATGTGAATGCACGGTGCGCCCAAAAAGATTAATATTACTACTAAAGCTAAAACTCCTAGACAATAAGAAATATAAGAATGAAGCTAAGGAATGAATGATCTTTCTTTCGAACGTAGAGGGTTCAATATATATTAATGTTAAGTTTTGTTTTAAGGAGGCCATGCATGCATGCATGAACCCGCCTAACCAAAGGCCCAGCAATAAAAAATCAAGTAATCAGGAGAGACATAACTAGTAACGACTAGAAAAAGGAGAGATAGACAGAATCATGCAAAATAAAAGAAAAAAGAGAAAAAAAAAAAAAAAAAAAAGAAATGAAAGGAAATCGCTAGTAGGAAATAGCAATCAAAGTTAATAATAATGTGGTAGTGGAACACAAAAATGAAGATCGCGTTGAGTGTCCCGCAGCCTGTAATTAATGCTGTTGAAGATATTTAAAATATTATCAAGTATAGTTATATATACACATATCACCGAAATCAGCAAGTCAAACACCCACAATAGGAAAAAAAGACTTCAAGGATCAAACAGGCAAAAAGCTACGTACGATACTATGCAAATGAGAAATGAAGGAGGTGGGGCTTCTTTAGCGAAGGTATATACGAATATAGCGTATGAACTTTTTAATCAAGAAAAGAGAACGGCTACACTCCTCCCATTCATATTTTATCAGAATTCATATTTTATCAGACAATGCTGCTGAGTGGTAGTGTACATTTGGAGCATGGGGTGATGTAGAATGAAAAATAATGTACACAGGAAGTTCTAAAGCTGAAAGAAAACATGGGGGAGAGAAAGAAAGGGGAAATTCCCAAAGGCAAAAAGAAAAAAGAGAGTAAGGTATCTGAAGAGTCAAGAAAACATAATTCAAATCAAAAAGAGGCCCAAAAATAACATAGAAAATCTCGCATCTGCGGAAATTTTTGAAAAAGTCGGCTGTAGAAAACATAAAGTAGTGGTATTACGAAAACAAAATATTCTACACAAATATGGAGTCGGGCTTGAGAAAGGACAAGATATTAAAAAGTGGGAAGCGGAAAATGAAGGTAAGCGTATATATATATATCAGAAGCGTAAGGAAAAGGGCAAAAAGAATGAAAATTGTGTCATGAACGGAAAAGGAGAAAATGGCTATGGAAGCAATGCAAGTGCAAAAGGAAAGAAAATGCTAGCTGTGAAAATTGCAGTGATGAAGAAAGTCAAGTAAAAATTTCCTAGTTGTATCTGATTGCAAGCTGATATCGGCTTACCAATATGACAAGGTGATATGGTGTATTCATTGAATAGCAAGGAAATAAATAATGAAAGCCTTGCTAGCTTTGCTGGGACGAGCCAATATTCGAAAGTAGGAATTTAGGCTTCTAGAAAAAAGGCCGCGAAGTACATGTAACTCCACGGACAATCAGCGTACTTCTTGTTTCCAAGTAAGGCTTTGTAGTAATAAAGAGTTGGTTCCGGGAAGAGGTGCGGTTATCGCGAATCAGGTGAGGTAGACGCGGATCGTTTTGTCCATCCACTGAAAAACCCGCCAGCAGAAATGGCTGCGTTCGAACCTTGCATTTTAGAAGATTCCGTGGGGGAGTTTGGAAACATTCTCGACTTCGGAGGGCTGTTAACAGTAAGACTGCGTGCCAGGTCTATCGGACCTGGCCTTTTCGCTAAGTTATCTGTCGAACAGCTCATCAACTTCCTTAGCGAATCCAATTTTCCTTTCACCTCTTCGAGTTCCTGTCGAGCAACCGCCTCCGCAGTTTTTGCATTGACAAGCTCTAGGAGAAGACCCTCGTCGGGAACCACGCGGGAATCCTCGCTGGACACAAGCGCCTGTGCTCCAAGGCTGCTGGTTCGTTTCGAAAATGTAGAAGCTGATGAAGCAGTTCTGCAAAGCTTGAATTCACGCAGGCCAGTTGATCCCCTATCCGAGGAGCCTGATGAGCCTTGAGGCTCGTGAGGGCTCTCCGATGGGGAATTTTTTCTCACACGTAATTCTTGGATAGCTTTCTCGAGCCGTTGTTTGTCTTTGTGGAACTCCTGTAAGCGAGCTTGTGCCTTTTTCAGCTCGTCTTTCATTTGGGAACACTCTACATCCTTATCGTCAATGCGTCTGCTCAAATCCTTACAAATCGAAGCTTCCTGTGCATATTTCTCCTTCCACTTAATCATCTCGTCTCGGAGCTCGTGTTTTGTTTGGTTTATTGAGACACGTCGAGATGCCGTAGGAGAAAATCGATTAGTGGCTTTTGCGAGTAGGGCTGCATGTTCATCATAGGTAGAATGTTCTCTCAAATATTCAAGCATCTGTCTCCCAGTTTGCTGATCTTCTTCTCGCTCCTCCCTCTCTCTTTGGAGCTCTTCAGCCAAGGCTGCTTGTTCACGTTGCATATCCGTCAGAGCCGTCAGCAGATCTTCTATCTGACTGTGTAAGTCTCTGTCTTGGTTTGACATTCCAGCCATCTTCTTCTTACGATTTATCGAATCCACGGCGGATATTGAGACTGGTGATGGTTCTGTAGGGGCGGTACTAGCATCAGATGCTGACTCGCAGGAATTCAATGTAGATGCCATACTTTGTTTGGATGGAGTGCGTCGCACAACACTAGAGGGGCGTGAAACCAGCGGAGGGGGATTGAGGTTCAGAGTAAGGGACCTGGAAGAATTATGGGATCCGGATCCGGCCCAAAGTCGACCTAGAAACCTGGAAGCGACAGCCTGCATTTGAGGAAAGGAAACACTAGTTGAGGTTCCTTGCGATTCTTTATAGCTTATTTCCAGTTGATGGAGGCTTTCGCGTGTCACAAGGGAGGTCAAAGATACAAAGTCATGGACTAGTGCATCTGCGCTACCTCCATACCTATCGGGACAAACATGTTAGGACATGGTTACCATGTGAAGAAATGGGCCAACACTCACGTATCCCATATACTTCTAGCTAGCAAAATTTGCATAACATCCTCAAGTTCTTCGCATGCTAGGAGTTTTTTCTGGTTTCGTTGCATGAGCGAAAGAGCAACTCGCATCAATGTTTCACAAGCTCCCTCCAAGAGCAAAACATCGTATATTCTAAGAAGCATTGGAAATGGACATGTAACACCAAAGAAGGATAAAAACCATTGCGAAACATAAACCGGCTCAATTTTCAGGGATTCCAAATGAGAATGGAGCTCTGGTAGATGTCTTGAAAGGAGTGCCTGGAACTGATATATCCGTAAATGCAAGCCAGAGAGTGTTGGCAAGAAGCAGGACCGGAGATTGTAATGATCCATGAGACTGTGGAAATGCAATGGCATTAGTGGGCGACAAAATCGCAGGACAAAAACAATTGTAGTACACATACCGGACAAGCACGCAAAATGCCTCGGCATCGCTCATATGCATTAAAAGAGGGCCAACAACAAAACCCAATCCCTGGCAATACCCAATCTTTTCATCATAAAGACTAAAAGACCTCAATACCCTTCCTAACATCTGTTGTCCCTCTCCATTAGGATCGCGAAACATCTCCACACTTGGGAAACTTCTACCAATATCTTTGCCAATTAAGCCCTCATACGGACTGGTCACTCCGGTGAGTCTCGCAAATTCATCTAAAAGATCTGAGTCTCTAGCACCAGCGAGGCTGGGCCATACCACTCCTCTTAGCGGTGGAGGAACACCTGCTCTTATCTTGTTTGAGGTTAATGTTGGTAATCGAGAGGCAGTGTGGTTATAGTCAGCAACAAGCGCCGCCCAGAAGTCCAGCTCGGTCATCTGAGGAGTGGGCAGCTGGGAAAATCGTAAGGAAGCTCTCTGCGGTTCGTCCACGAGCTTTCTGATCTGATGGAGAGATGGGGGACGGGAGTCCTTTCGAACATGTGAGCCTGACTTGGGGTTGCCAGCCAGAGCATTGTTTTCTTGTTCAAGTCTCGCAAGGAGCAGAGCAGTAGACTAGTTATTCCTGTCAGATAAGATGGCATGACATGATGAAATGGGATCTTCAACAAAGCAAGCAACTCACCTCATCTCCAGGATCGCTCTTGGACTCCAATTGCTCAGTTTTCTCGAGTTCTCTCCAGTCCACTTGCTCACTTCCTTCTCGAGATCCCGGCTCACTGCTTCCACGACTGCTTCTAGAACTTGTAGAGGAAGAAGATCGTGTGCTTCCCGATTGATTGTTGGATCGTCGCTGTGGAGTGTCCTCGTTTGGTGGGACAATGCCTTCTCCCTCGACAATATCTTGAGGTTCCTCTACGATTGGAGACGAAAGGAGAGTAGAAGTACGACAAACAGAGTCTGTGGTCTTAGGGCCAAATGACACATCTGAGAGAGGAACAGTAACCATGGAATCCGTCGATTGCAGCTCACGGCTGACTGAAGTCAACGAGGACATAGTCTCCCCGGACGAATCTTGGAAATCTGAAGAATGGTGCATGCCGAATATGAGAAAAACGCAGCGTGTCTGAAGCTAGTGGGTAGGCATGGGTATTAAAAAAGCGGTATACAGGTGCGGTATCGACGGGACGGATGTTATATGGCAATATAGAGAGGGGAAGAGGGGGGACGCTGTCGGGCCAGTTCAAAAGGTGCCTGGATTTGCCGGCAAAACAATGGGGCGGGCGACAACTAAAACGAGGGGGTGAAGATGCAATGGGGTCGCCGGCGACAATTGCAGGAGCAAAGGAGTGGGGGCGACCAAGGGTCACGGTGCTGACGAAGAATAACGAAGCTGTCCTCTTGACGCGGATGGGAAGAAGTTGAAGCTTGTATGAAGATGTATGATGTCGTTGTCGTCGAGAACTGCCTCAGGAGAGTGGAGACGATAAGGGGCACCTTGGTTGCGCCGCATGCCGTAAGTTGTTAGTCAGAAACGGCGGTTAGCTATGCCTAAAGCGGGCAAGCGGAACGCACTCTAATTTAGGGTTTCAGGAACGCTCGAACCTTACCAAAATTGCTGCAGCTTTCGCAAAACGACACGCGACAAACCGCACGACAGCCGCACGGCGAGTTCGCACGGAGGATGAAGTGCCGCTTGTGCTTTATATATTCTCTCTTCAGCGGACAGACCTAGTGTCAACCATTCTTTCGCCCCGGTACGGGATATCCCTAAAGCCGCCATTGCTGATCCATTGTTCCTTTGTCTCTGAATCGCCCCTGTTCCGTTCGTCCAATGGGCAGTCCCGACATCAAAATCCCAAATGAAGCAATATATTCCCATTCCCCTTCGTTAAATGATGGCTGCTTTGAAACCGAATCTCTGTTGGCAGTTTGATAATTCCCGGGAATATTACTATTTTCTTTTTTGAACAATAATACCGGCTGTCTTTCATCACATGCTTATTATCTGGAGGTCCTGGAGCGAAATAAGATTTGAACCTATAACCTAAACATCTTCAGTGTTCCGGGGATTTGAACACCTAAGCTTTCGCGTGTAAAACGGCATTACTCATCCGAAATTTTTCAGGATGCAGCTTTGACTCATCGGTGTTGTTTGAAGTTTTCTATGCGTCAAAAGGCTACAAACAATCCAATATTGCCACAGCACAAGTCACGGAAAAAGTGTTTACGCACACAACTCAGTGTTTGGTCATATACCGCTCGCTGTTACTATTCCAACTCAAAAACCTTACTAACCCCCTTGTATCTGGTTTAGCACCGATATCCAGCATTTATTCCTCATTGCCTTAACGAGAGACATGGGAACACGACTGTTCCTTATACCCAGTGTCATCAAAATCAAAGACTTGCAATTTTCAAACCCTTAACACTTTGCCAAACAACCCATGACCAATTCTTCATCCTTTAAGTTACAAACTGCAGAATCCTTTCCAGACTGCGGTGCTGGTGCGCCTCAGTGGCCATCGAGAGAGCTTCCCGATTAGGCGGAACACCAACAACCGCCTGAAGCATAGAAGCAGTTGGGGCGTGGGTCGCAGCAGTAATAGCCGCTGCATACCCCTGCGCAGTAATAGCAAGCTATCAATTTCCGAAAGGAGGAGAGGTTTCCATCAGCTCTGGGATTTCCACAAATATTGAAACCAGACATGGTGGGAAGATCAGAGACAAAAAAATAGTCATACCATCTGCGAGGACATCACCGTTACTCTTGGCGGCGGGGGAAGTATCTAGGGAATTGGCTGTTTAGCCAGGGGAAAGTATGTTAGCCTGTCTCAAACCTGTTTGTGACTTTGTATTTCATACTGTCCAAACTCACCAGCAGCCTTTTTCTCCATTTCCGGAGCGCCGAAGATCGGAGTCAAGCCTGATATCAGGCAGAAAACCAGAAGATTGAGCTTCATATTTTTTGAATTTCACCTGGACTTTGTTGTCTTGGGATTTATTTTTGATAGTTTGTCCTCTTGCGACTTATCCAATACGATTGAATGGGGAATAAAGGGGTGTTGGAAAGTGGGTTTTACCTCTCTTTTATTCGTGATCTGATGCATGGAGCTCCAGGTCAACTTTCATTCCTTCCCTGGATACCACCATGTCTTGGGGTCTTGGGGGGTGCGTTCCACTGCTTAAAACCATGATGGCCAGCTGGATAGGCTTAAATGCACAAACACGAGGTAATGGAGCCTGCTGCCTCATTGGTTATGCCCCTCAACGATCTAGAATTCTCTCTCCCAAGAGCAACTCTTGTCACGCATGTGAAGGTGCAGATATCTTGTCAGGGGTGTTGGCACGGCGGCTACTTTCCTCACCGCACCCAATTGCAATCTACATAAGTCATGCGTTGCTCTCCTGCGCAACAATCAAATTCCCTTGCATAAATACGGGCTTCGTGAAAGTCCAAAAGAAGTTATTTTTCGACTACTCGTTAGGTGCCCCCTTCAATACTATAGATTATATCCACTGACCACCACTGGAGATTCTAGCGTAGATCTGCATCCTCCGTCTCATCATCAATAAATATGCAGGCAAAGCCCTTGGCATTTTTGAAATCAACTGATTCTCTCCAGTCCCGATGGCCTGGAAATAAACTCGAGCGCAAGACTAACGATCTCCGTTGGACAACGGAGCATGGCGGAATCCCCAAAACCTAGCAAATAGGCCCCATTGCTACCTTCTTGTTTAAGCACTGTGGATGCTTGGGTGTCATCAGTTTTCACCAGTGGGATTCTTATGGGAGAGTATTGCGCTCTGGGCCAATGAGGTGTGGTCTCTTCAAGTTAAGGACGAAGCGACAGTGTTATCAGCCTGACGATATTTTCCCAAATGACAGAATTGAGATCATCGAACCGAGGGATTATCGAACCCGTATTGATCTGGGGAAATCATGGCAACTCTCTTTTCCCGGACGAGTATACGGCGTGGCCTGTGGGAGGCTAAAAAATCAACACATGCCTTTTAAAGGTTCTTTCGGAAATTTGTGCTCTCAGGTGCCACCTGTGCTACTCTCAAAAAACCAACCCCACAACCTCCGAATAGACTCTTCTCGTAGTAGCTCAACGGGATCGACATATTGTGCATATTCATTTTGCGTTAATAATTGCATGGCTGACTTCAATACGACGCGAAGTCAAGCGAATCAGGCATATTTTGGCCAAGAAATGAGCGGAGAAAGAATCAAGCTCACCACCCAACATATCCTTGCAGTTTATCACTGCATCAAACCCAAAAATGGGATTCTCGAACCCAGCCTGCTTTGCTTTTCTTTTCATTAACCCAACTTATCGGGCAGAACCCTACGAGTCTCGTCAGTTCCAAACAAGCTTGGCTTGAGTTTGGGCCGTTGTTGAAGTGCATGTCTTCCGCGTCTTAAGGAATCTCCATGCAGTAAATGTAATATTATGCCTTATATTACTACTATGGTTTCCCGAATAGGCTTTTAAAGTGCAGGCCAGCTCAAACCGATTTGAATAGTTTTTCGAACATTAGTCAAGGCGGCATCATAGCTTGCGATATGCTTGATCTACGTCAAGAGAACTTGGATCTCAAATCGATGGTCAGTTACAGCCAATAAAAACAATCATATGAAAGCTATTCGTAGCGAGCTCTTAAGGACCAATGTCCTGCAAACACTAAAAATTTATGGGTAAACCTGTTGCATATTGGTTGGTCAACCACTCAAAGATTTGAGGTTGCCGGACTTGGCTGCAAATTTCGTGTCTAGCCTCAAGACTCCAACCATGAGGGGAAGAATTTATTACTTGAGCTCTGATGCTGATCTCCATTAGTGTATGCAAGGATTTGCATAGCAGTTAAATTTCTACATCTCCGTACGTACATTACTCCGTACATGCTTGAAGAATCAATGTGAACTCAACCACAACTCTCTCTTTTCATTCATATACCTCTCAACTCAGAGCATTCCCGTCCAATTCAAATGTCATATCTGCCGCTAATGATACCGTGTCGACCACTACGTGTACGGAGTACCTATAAGAGATATCGGAGGGAAAATCTCGTATTGGTGCTACCAGCTCAACGCCCACACAGCCTTAAAAATAGGAAATAAGACCAATTGCTCACTATCACAAAATCACACGACCCAAATTGGTCATTAAAACGCAAACCTTCCGCAACCCGGTTCATCAATTCGATATTTTAACTGCCAAACCCCTCAACCAGTACTGTGCGAAATTCATGCGCGACCCTGCATGGAATCAGCCGCTCCGGCCAAGTTCCACAGCAGGTTCCACCGCAGCGCCCTGGGGGGTTTGACGCGAGCATGATGCACTGGTTTAACTGGGTAAATAACACGGTTAAAACCATGACACATTTAAAATCATGATGTTGAAAGCAGCTGATCAAAAAATAGAGATACGCGTCCTTGAATATATGGAACTGGGTTGGGTCATAGTGAGACAACGTTCTCATACTTCTTTGCCAGCAAATTTCACCCATCTACGTCGGGATATTGGCCAGATCAAGGCAGCGGACTGAAGCTGCCAAGTGGGCCTCGCGACCGGGCGAGGAGCTCAGTGATAACGGATGGAAATATTCATTGCTAACTCAATCAGTGCAAAAGTGTGGTTCGGACCGAAGAGATCAACGTGAATTTCCTAAAGCTAACTTACGATTTGCTAACACCTTTGATCGGCACCTAAGGAATCAATCCCCAGCCGAGCTTGTAAGAAGAATATCCCCGCTGTGGAAAATAAATACGTTAAAAATCAAATCTCACCTGTGAACTTTGTCAACGCCGGTCAATAGGTGATAATACGCTCGACCATTGCACTGAAAATCCAAGCGTGAAATGGGCCTCATGGAAGGCGTAGCGCATGATGATAGCGAAAAGATAAATATAGTCTGAACAAAAGCATCCATAAATCATTTTCCTCGGTAAATTCATACTTTGTAATGATTACTACATTCTTATTATTACACCCCTACTACCGCTGTGGTAGGCTTCAGCCCTCAACATCAAGCGCTGAGGCATCTGTATGTTAAAACCTTAGGAAAAATATATCCACTAGTTATCTGGATATGTTTTCAGTTGTTAGCGCAACCTCACCACCAGACTACTCTCATCACGGCATAACTTGTATTTTGTATATGAGTGCAACATATAGCAAAGACTTTTAGAACCTACGAATGTCAATAACTATACGGAGCGCTGAATACTACTACACTGAGAATATAGATATAACATTCTATGTCATGGGGGACTCGCGGCAAGAATACACAAAATAAACATGAAAACCTTCAACACAATGTTGGATTTCAAGGATGTAGGGGTTTAAAACGTCTTTTAAAAAATAGCTAACTGATTGAAGCTACTTTATTGTCAATTACTGTACTGTAATATGCACTCATTGTTGGCTAATTTTCCATGCTATCCCTTTTACATTTTGTGGTGTTGGTATGCTTTGATTGAGGCTACATACAATTCAAGAGATACTTAAAGTTGGCATTGGTCACTTTACTATCCCATATACTGAGTGATACATACAGCTTTACAAATGCTGAGGAAAGGAATGAGAGAAAGTAGAAAATCGCATCTGCGCAGTACAGATGTATATATAGTTACTGCATCTGGTCGGCTGCTTGTTGACACTACTTTCCACACTAGTGCCAAAGAGGACTGGTCGTGTTGTCAAATTTCCTAGTTGGGCCAAGCATTGCTGAGTCACCCGCCAAGAAGTGGCCCAAAGCGGCAGGGGCCTAGACTCCCGTTGCCGGATCCAGCAACACCCCACTGCGAAAATCGCGATGTCCAAACAAACATCAAACAAACGCGCCTTTGCCCCTTCTTTCACCAACACCATACATATGTGGACGTCGACATCGACATCGACATCGACCACGACCACGACCACGACCACGACCACGACGCTCGTTTCTTCTCTCGTCTTCTTCAACGCCTCCTAATACTCCAGGAGTGTTTGACATTGCGTCTGTCTCTGTCGCACTGATTTTGTCGTCACACATTCGTTTGTTTCCTCCACTCGCCGATACCTGTCTGTAGGCTCAACTTCCAACTACATCCGCTGCGGATGGACTCCCCAATAGACTCCGTCTTTGAAGACGATGGGGGTAGTTCTGATTTCGTCCCAGAGGCGCCGGTGCGTGTCCCCTTTTGACTTTTAGTTGCTGGCCGATCTCCCCAATATCGATTCTGGCTAGCGTGTCTAACTCATTCGTTCCTATAGAAATCCAAAGCCAAGGTTCCCAAGAAAGCTGCTACCTCTACTAAACCAAAAGCACCTGCTAAAAAGACGACCAAAACCGCCGCTAAACCGAAAGCCGCTGCCCCCAAATCCACCGCCTCCAAGAAGAAGGCGAAAGTAGACACAGAAAATGAGATATCAGATGGTGATGATGACGGAGATCTCGATGTCGCATCCCTACTTTCAGCTACACCTCCAAATGCTGCTGCGAAGGCGAAAAAATCTGCGGGCTCCAAGAAGCCGCCTAACAAACCCCTAGAAAATGTTGAAAATGAATCGTTTGGAATGGATGGCGCTACGGCACCCAAGGAAAACAGTGAGAAGTACCAGAAAGTAAGCCGTTGATCGATACCTTTCCCATCAGCGGGGGAGTGATATTAACTGCGCAATCTACCTAGCTTACCCAATTAGAACATATCATCAAACGGCCAGACACATACATCGGCTCTATCGAACGGTCCACTAACCAGATGTGGGTTTACAATATGCAATCTGGATCAATGGAATTTCGAGTAGTCTCATACGTGCCTGGTCTCTACAAAATATTCGATGAGATTCTGGTCAATGCTGCCGATAATAAGCACAGCGATAAAAACATGGACGAGATACGTGTCACTCTAGACAGGGAATCTGGCCAAATAAGTGTCTGGAACAATGGTCGCGGTATTCCCATTGAGATCCAC